TCAAGACGAATGGCGTCTCACGCAGATAGGGAACGCCTCATAGCATTAAACGGTTGTGTTCGGGAAAACATCGCTCCGCCATTGTGGGTCCATCAAACTATTTGAGACATCTGTTGTACTGAATGCGATGGGTCGAGTTCCCCGGCACCATAATGCGGTTTCGGAAACCCTCGTGCATCGATTCAGTTACGGCTCCATTCATAACGGCGTGAAAACTTCATGGTTTGATTCTCCCATCTTCCGAGAATTCCAGCCTTCGCGATTCATTAATTCCTCCGAGGTTGCCAGATTCACTTTTGTCATGCTCAGCCAGTCGTGGCGTCCTCCGCAACACAGAAAGTGATCACGAATATTTTGGACGGCCGGATTGGGAGGAAACTTCCCCAGAACAACCGGCATGCCGAATTCGAGAGCGCTTAGGAATGGAAGACATTTTTCTTGATCGCTTCGCCTACTTCTGAGGGATCCTCCTCGCAAGAACGACGGGTCTGGCTTGCTTCTCCTGATAAGTGGACGCACTCGACTGACTTGACCTTCCTACTCCGATCGGGTCTTCTCCCCGTCGTCGACCATTCTGACCATTGAGCTTCGACCAAGCCCGTGAAGAGATTCCCTGGGCTGGAGAGGAGCGAATTACGATTCACGAGTGAGCGTACCCGCGAACCCGATGCCCTTGATCAATTTCGGCTCGAGCTCCCTTGCGATCGCTCCCGTCTGTGAGCTCCGAGTCCGGGGGACAATGGAAGGGGTAACGGGACGCGAGGCTCCTTCAGCTCTAGTGTATCTCTCCGAGTCTTAGATGCCATTTACGGGCGTTTGTTTGTTAGAATCACGGGTGTTGAGAGGGAGATCCCGCGATGCTCAAGACTCTATTGAAACGGAAAGGGTCTTCGCAGATTCTCGAGATGCGTCACTCTCTCTCCATCCTCCCATGACACGGTTGGAGATCCGTGAAGGTCTCATGCTTCCTCATGTCTTCACGATTTGTGTCTCACAGAAATATTCCCCGTAGCTGTAGACCGCCGCTGTCGCGATCGTCGAGCTATCCGTGAAGAATTCGACTCGATTCATTCCTTGACACACCAACCCGCGCGCGACTGAATCGGCTCCATCAGCGTAGCTCCGAAGAGACTTTGCTCCTTTCAATGGAATTCTGCGGCTGAAGGTGCGCGGAAGGGGAACGGAGGCCGAAGGAATACTTTCGCACTGAAATCGATAGCAGCTTAACGCTGGATTCCAGAATTTCACTTCCGGGCACTCTCGGTTTCCTAGATACATCGGATCAGACTCAGAATGCGGTTTCGTGCGATCCGCTACACCGGATTAGGAGATTCTTCAGACTGCTGGAAAGTTACGCGACAATATAAGCTTTCCGGAGACAGAAGCCAGTGTCGATCTTGAAATCCGCCATCCGACAGTTTTTTGTCCAGGTGTCTCAGGAAGCAGTGAGCACATGGCTCATACATGGATGCTCTCAAGAGAAGCTTATATTTCGGAATCCGTAAGCTTCCCAAAGGCCCGCGAGTGGACTTGATCTCCCTCGTCAAAAGTCCTTTCGTGGATGTGTATCCGCGTGAACAGTTAAATCATCAAAACGATTTTCACCGGGCGGCTCAAGGTTGTCGACTTTTCGGTAGTCGATTATCTTGGTCCAATAAACCCGTTCTGACGTAAGGGACACTCCTAAGGATATTATCCGTAAGAGGAGTCATGGAGCGGAGCAGGATTCGGAAATTCTGCTCCGCACAGATTGAGGGAGAAAATTGGCGAGACTTTGCTTCTCTGCGATCTCCGGAGGGACATAGGCAGCGTCTTCTCGAATCTCGCCTGAGACTCCTCCTCTGGTCCGGGAACGAGAACCGCAGTCTAAAGCCCGTGAGTCACATCGCGTACCGGGGATAGTCTCTCACGAGACTCGTCGCGGCGATCGGGAAGGGCTCCTCGAGGCGCTGCGTCTACGCCGAGGGGTCGCCCGACGTGGGAGAAGGTGCTGCGCGATCCAGCGGGCGGCCTTGGTGCATTCAAATTGCAGTCGATCGACGCAGATTCCTCAGCATATCGGCCACCCATCGAGAGGAGCGGAAAATGTATTTTCCCGTACTGCTCGCGGTGAGGAAGCCGACATTTTCGGGTAGAAGAGAAGCGTGAGCCCGCGGAGAGAGATTCGGAAACCGGCCGCCTGAATCTTTGACGCAGGACGTCCGACCATATTTCTGAAGAGAGCCGGAATAATCGATCCGATTTCGATTGATCACGCCAGGAGTTGCCAGCAGCAACCCTTCCGATCGTTCGATGACGGGTATCATTTGTATATTTAGCTTTCCTCGCTCCTTCTACATTGGATGCGTTCGATTGTTCTACCGCTTCGCTCATTCCCCTGTACGAATTCTTTGCAGGGGATTCGCTGCCTCTGATAGCCAAGACCGCTCGAGGCTTTTCGATGGGAGGAATTCCTCTAACGATTCTGGCGCGAAGCGTTCTATCGTTCATGTGTTCCATAGAAGGACGGGTCGGATTTCTGCAACGAGTAGGAATCGTTGAAGATTCGGATAGACGGTCGTTTTGCCATTGACCTTGGCGTCCAAAACTACAGAGTGAGGAACTAAAGGCCGCTCCAGACCACACCTCGTCGACTGATATCGCGTGCCGTGCATCTAGACAACGACCTATCGCAAAACTCACAATGGGAGTGAAGGCGCAGCAGATTCAACGCTTAGCCTTTCGATCAGTCCGATAAGCTCGATGCACTGCAACAGAAAAGATCGATTTGCGATCCACCGCCTGCGTCCCATCTCGTGTCGAGTTGCCTCTTTGATCGGATAACTTGAATCGATAGCACGGAAAGTCGCATGACTGTGACGCCGAATTCCCGAAATGACCAGTGCACTAGGTAATTGTAAAACAGAGAGGTGGTGCATCCGGAATTATCGGAACAAATCAGCCCAACTTATGAGCTCAGATCGATATTCGCGTACGTCGGTTGCGGCTCGCTGCTCTTGTCAGTTCCGTTTACTTGAATGGGAATAGCGGCACATGACCTGATGAATTCAATGTCGAATAATGATGAAAACTATTCTGCAATTTATAGGCAATAAAATCCAGAGGTTCCCTGTTTTTTCATTTTGTTTTTTCACTACAACACGAGCCTTGACCAAGCATTTTTCGAAACGACGGATTTAACTATGAAACGGATTCCTTTCACAGCCGTCAACCGTTCGTACGAAACAGTGAACCTGTCGTGAGCGTTTTCAGACGAATGATGTCAGTCCGAAACGATGAGTCAGGTCCCTCGAGCGAGAATCTCCACTCAGCAACTCATCCAACTAAATTCTCGGATTCAGGCGCTGCATCCGTGTTGATCGTCGTCGGGACGGAATATTTCTGAGCAAGCGTTGGAGTGGAAAAAGTTCCGCTTCTGGACTTGAAAAGATTCAAACTCTTGCGAGCTCGTCGTTCATATCTGGGATCGGCCACATATTCTCCGCGCGAGTCAATGACTCCACAACGATGTAATTCACTTCGATGCCCAGTGGTGCCAGAGCGATGTCTTCAAAGCCGCTGACGACTCATGAATGATGCGCAAGACTTAACCGTAGCAGTCGATCGTGGGTTCATTCGCAACTTAGGAGACTCTGGTGGAGATGTTTTAGTTCCGATCATTTTGGCAGCGTGGAAGACACAGCGAACACAATTCCTTTCTTTCGCGACCTTGGATCCGATGACGTGATTTCGTCGGTATCAGGGGCTGGTGTTGAATAACTCGACGGAATCGAAACAGCTCCGATTATGAGTTTGGTGGAAAAGGCCAAGAAACGAATATAGTTTCGTGATTCCATAACCGATCCCTTCTCTCAATATAATGCGGAGGCAGAGGATTCCGACGCTATCCGATCAGCTTCGAGGACTGCTCTTGGTACAGAAGCCAGAGAAAAGCGCCTTACGAATCGAAGGCTATATCGGCGACTTGAGCGAGCTCAAACGATCGACGTGCGCGCGTACAAGAAAGCGTTTACTCCGTTGCATCGACGTCACGCGCAAATTCGATCAGTGTCATCCGAAACCCCGGGTATAGCTCTCAATCTTCCTGACTTCAGTCAGCCGTCCTCCCCGCGTACACCGAACGTGACGACAGTTTCGTTATGGAGGGTCACCCACGAGAGTCAGGGCCGTGTCAGACCTGAAAGAGGTTAAATCGTTTGGAGGCCGCTCCGCTTTAGAGCGTCCGGTCTCGGAACAGCGGGGACGTTCTCGTTCCGTTATGGAGATCGTTTTTGTGTTGGAATCCGGGTTCCCAATAGCCGCGAAATGGCCTTCGAGAGCAGCGAGAAAAAACGCGTTCTCATGCTCTTTCCGAGCATGCGCCTGTAGATTAATGAATCCAATCCTCGACTCGAGACATGAAATCCAATCCCCTGCAGCTTGGGCAACGGAATTCGACAAGGGTTCCGGCTCCCGGAGACAGGCGGAATTTCGGCTGGGACGCTTCCTCTTCAGGGTCTCCGAGAAGAATTCGGAGTAATTCGAAGTCCGAAAAACACAAATCAGCATCAAATCATGAATCACTCGCGGGTTGTTTGAGTACCTTGAAAGACAACTGTCTGCGGAAAGCCACAATGGTGTGGCGAACGATCCAACATCGCAACGAACGCGAGCGTATCCCGGGCTTCGGATTCGTGTCTCAAGTCCAGAAAAAAAAGTTCTTTCGCGAAAGGTAGCGATCTTTTTCATGAGGGGGAATCCCGAACTCTTGAGGAACGAAAATTCTCTCCGCAGAGCTCGCAGGCGAGTCATGGCTCATAGCGTAAATCCTTTGGAACCTCATCCTAATGGAGGCAGTGAGCTCTTCATCCTAATCCGTTCAGCGCAACTTATGAAATCGTCCGGATATTTTTCGAACCGCTGTAGTGAATATGTTCCGAAATCTTACAAGATAACACACAGTCGAGCTTGGCACGCTCAGTTTTTAGATTTCGAACGGTGAATCTTCCGGCTCAACTTACCGGCATGGAAACCTAATCCGACGTTTGGCGAATATCGATTCACTTCATCCACGGAGCGGTTCTACGGAACCCCCACGGATTTCAGTTGAATGAAAACACACACTAGTTGCATCAAAAATGCGAAGAACTTCAATTGGAACGAGCGATTGTCGGACTCCTGACGTCGATGATCTGCGGCGGCGGGCGAACACCGTCGTCGGTGAGCGTTGCAGGAGAGGGCTTCCGTCAAGGTCAGAGGCATCATCATCATCATGACTAGCGGCGGGAGCAGGCGCTGGAGAATCGGCACCACAACAACCACCATATCAGCGACTGCATCGGCGGGAAGGAGCCGCTAGGCCGTCGATCTTCGCCCAGTTAGCGTCTTGCCTCCGCGCTGTTTGCCGCAATGGGCCCGATGATGTCAATCGGTCGCAGGTCCACCGCCCGCTACCGCCTATGTTTCGATCAGGCCATGGCGCGATGGAAAATCGCGTCGACGTCTACGAACTGTGTCCGATGTTGCCTACACAATCGTTCTTAGGATGTCGAACATGTTGCCTAACAAACTGCACCGTTGGAGCTGACGGGGCAATGCGCGTTCACACCGTGGGTCACGCATAGTCACAACACTGCACGTAATGAGCAGCGGCATGGGTGGCGAAGGGCCATAAGGCATTGCAAAGTGTCTACTTGGGAGCGGAGCAAGCGTCGATCTGGGGATCATCCATAAATTCCTCATGGATCCTCGCCCAACCTTTCGCATTGGCTAGAGTCACTTCCGTGGATCGCTCTCATGATCTCCTGAACGAGCCCGCGGGCCTGAATGAGCATGACCCAGGGCTCACGGTGTAGTTGACGGTGATCTTTAGGAAGAAAGCGCGCTCTAAGTTGTCGGCTTTCGGCGGAGCCGATATCGCACCCAGAAGCGGTGCCTTCGGTCCGTCGATAATTAAAACTCTTCAGCATACTGTCGTTGACCACATTCGCGAAGTCATTAATATCCTCGGCCGAAGTCCGAAGTAGACCATAGAAATATGAGACTTCGAGTCACGGAACAAGTGTCGAAGAGGAACATTATGCATTCAAATGGGCATGGATACGGACTCCGGACAAAAATATCCTCCTGATTCAAAATCAAGATCTGAATACCTAATTATGGAACCGATGAGAGACCCCAAAATGAGCACCGTGGATGATGCTAATTTCGATATCGTGGAGATTCGATATCTACGGGAACCTGAAATTGTTTTGAGCGAGAGCGCCGCCTATTTCATGGTCCGACTTTCGCCCATAATAGAACGACAAATATTGAACGACAAGTCTGCCGTAGGACCTTGCGTTCACCGGCGGAATAGCCCAAGGGCTTCCGGAATTTCTGTCACAATTATATGTGCTGTGACACTCCATTACAAGTCAAACACACTCTACCACTTCCGCTGCGGGGGCCACTTTCCATACATTCCACTTTCCGGTGCTTTTTATGTATGCAGACGAATTCGTACTTATCCTGTCAGAATTTCGCAACCGTATGCCCAGCATTGTGAGGGTGTCCGGACCTCGATCGTGCACTCTGAGTATTCTCAGTCTTGCGATTGCGCTGCACTACGATAAGGCCATCCAGCACTCCTTTGATTACTATGCGCATATTGCCGATAACCCCGAGCGAGCTTCCAACTGTGCCATTCTCGGGTCTAGATTTCAGGCTTCCTTCTCAGGGATTCTTCATCCTACGTCTAGGTTGACGGAACCTAAGTACGGAGCTGGCACCGTCGGGAGTCCTCCAGGGGAACTGTCTCGTCCCTTTCCTGCATTTCGTGTTCGAGCCTCGCGGAGTATCCCCCGCCAAGATTAATTATCTACTGTCCGCGGATGATCTGAAGGTATACTACCCTGTCCTTTCAAACACTGACATTCAGGAAACGCGGTCCGCTCTCGATGGTATCCTGTTTTGGTGCCACGAAATCTATATGGGTACATCGGTTACAAAATCCAGCTCCCAATCCTATGATGCAGGTATACGCGCTCTCGGAATGCCTATCAGGTCTGTTCTATGTCCGACATGTCCGAATCAGCCCAAAACACGGCCGACTACAGCCTCACTGCTCGATGTCTCCGACAGTGAAGCACTTCGCCAATCTTCACAATCGATGATGTGTATTATCTTCTGCCTGGAGGATATCCCGCAAAATCCATGAAGACGGAACAACAGGATCCCTCCACTCGCCCTCCCTTTCGAAATAAAGTGACTATTGAACACGGATGAGAATAGATTCTCTCCAGGCATTTCAATCCTTCACGTTTTCTGCTCCGAATGTAAGAAACCGTGAACGATACTGTCTTTGGAGATGCGACGGAAGAATGCTTAAGCTCTTCAGTCGTCTTGTGTGCCGCTCTATTGGAACAATTCAACCCACAATGCAGGAATAGATGACACAAATAGATTCGGGGGAACTCCGCGAAAATCGCGCGTCGAATGCGACGGCGAAGGTTAAGTGCTCGTGGACGGCGACTGTGATTGTCTATGGTTTATGCCACCGCGGTCAATGAGGTGATAATATTGTGGACGGGGGGAAGGACCGTGCACGAAGCGATCGATCGAAGCGACCGACGAGGGCTTTGGGGTGGACGATGCGCGCAAAGATAACGGTAACAATAATAATCGATGAAGTTCCTCTACGCTAGCCAGTCAACTCCATGGCTGCTCAGCTGACCGCTTGGAAGACGCCGGAGGAGTCCGCGGGAGACAGTCGACTTTTTTCGCGAGAAAAAAGGAAGCTATTCAAATGATCCGTTCACGTTGCCACTCACGTACATCCGTCATGGCTCAATCGGGGAAAGGAGAATGGGCGACGACTTCTCCTCCGCAAAGCACGAGGCATAACAGAGATTCGGAGGATCGTCAATGTCTTTGCCTGGCTTTCCACCCAAAGAGCTCAGGGAGATCGAGAGGAACGCCGTCCTGCTGTGCTCCAGACTGATGACTCGAATAGCTATCAGAAGGCGCCGATGGCCAAACGACGTCAATTCCTGACGAGGTTCCGTTCCAGCCTTCTATGGGTGATCTGCTAATTATGGGGAGATCTCTTACTTTAAAGCCTCCTCTTTCACGCTTCCACTTCCGTTAATTAAACGATCGATTTCCGTTAGAAGAATACGTCACGTTTTTATTGGTCGTCTTATGGAGTTGAGAACTCCCAGAGTCAAAAATATCACCCTGACCTTCCTCTCGGTTTGGGCTTTCGGGGACCGTTGCTCCCATAATTTCGAACGGTTCCATGGAATATAAGGTTTGTCGTCTTTTTCGGTGCACCATCGTAAAAAACTCGCTTATCGGAAAATATTGTAACCACTTGAATATGTACGCGAGTTCGGCTGGCAAGGAACGAGCCAAACAAACGAGCATCGCTCGCCGAGCCTGCCGGCAAACGATAATTCAGATGTACGCAGATTTCAGAGACGTACTTTGGCTGAAACTATCTCACTATAGAGATTCTCGTCGAGCGGGACATATTGTTGCTTCGAACGATCCAAGAAGAACAAAGCGTCTTTCACCTTGGCGGGGTTGAAACCTTCATCGACCAGGGTGTTTTTCTTATATTTCAGCGTGCTGGTCGACTCGATTTGTCGGGTGAATCTCACGAAGAGCGGCACTGCGTAAGCGGGCAGGTTCTCATCCATTTGTCTCAGAAGATCGCTCAGATCGATCTCATCTTGATTCTCCTTAATCAGAATGGCGACCATTCCCGCTTTGCCCTCAGTGCCCTCGACCTCCACCCCGTAAACTATGGCATCCGTCAGACCGATGATTTTCGCGATAACGCTCTCGACTTCGTTCGTAGAGACGTTTTCACTCTTCCATCGGAAAGTATCACCCGTACGATCTTGGAAGAACACATAGCCGAGATCGTCGTAGACAACGATATCACCCGTGGCGAATGCGTTCTCTCCATGCCGGAAAACGTCGGTGTAGATTTTCTTCTGCGTTGCGTTTCTATCGACGTAACCCTCAAATTTCATCGCGGGTTGCGATGTGATCAATCCAATGAGTTCTCCGGGCTCGTGAGCCTTGCACTCGACGCAGAGGCCTCGATGATCTCGGACAGGCTTGCCCGTTTCCGGGTCGATCTTGATGACGAACATCGGCATCACGATTCGGGCGAGCGTCCGACTCATCCGACACGGAGTTGATAAGAAACCGATGGCTCCCGGCTTGTTGTCCACGTTCATGAGGCCGGCGTTGCCCTCGGTGGATCCGTATATTTCCCTGATGTCGTCAAGCTTGAAACGTCGACGGAATTCCTCCCACAGTTGTTTCCGGGCTCCGTGGCCGAACAGCAATCGAACCTTGTGCGTATCATCTGCTTCCCGAGTTGGCTGTGCCAACAGATACCTGACCATTTCGCCTATGTACAGAGCGACCGTGCAGTCAAATTTTTTACAATCGGACCAGAAGTTCGACGCGGAAAATTTCGGTGCGATATGACAGCTCAGTCCGTAGATCAGGCACGGTCCCGGTCCTAGGGTGCCGCCCGAGTTGTGATACAGAGGCAACGATAGGTAGATTTTGTCGTCGACTCTGAAGGGACACATGAAGAACATGTTGGCAGCCACGTACATGTACCTCAAGTTGGTCACGATGGCGGCTTTGGGCAAACCCGTCGTACCCGAGGTGAAAATGTACAGGAGGCGATCCTTCGGGCTTCCTTGATGAAGTTTCTCGTCGGTCGATGCCTGCTGGAGGCAATCGAGCAGAGATTCGCTTCTCAGGGCCACCTCGGGAGCGTTCCCGCTATCCAAATGGTAGAACTCAATCGATTCAGAGTCATTTACATCTCCCAACGCAGAACTCAATGAGGGTGCCAGAGAATTACTGAATATCACAACCTTGGTTTTGACGGCGTTCACGCAGTGCGCCAGCGCCTTGCTCTTAATGTTGTAGTTTATAAGCGCTGTAACCAGACCGAGTTTACTCAAGCCGAGCCATATCATGAGGAATTCGGGTCGGTTCTCCATGAGGAGGCAGACCTCATCGCCGGCTTTGAGTCCTCGACTTCGGAAGTGATTCGCCACTCGATTCGTGAACACTCGCGCTTCGGAAAAGGTCCAGGAAGATTTCGGTGACGACATCAGCAGTTTATCCGGGTACTGTGTAGCAGTTTCGGTAAAGAGCTGAGCTACAGTTGCCTTGCGATTAATTTGCGACCTCAGCGCCCGCTTGGCTTTGAATTGATTGACACCAGCGCCCAGGTCTCTCCTTAAGGTCATGAGGAGCACCCAAAGTTGGAAGGAGTACATCACAGCAAGGCAGTTTCCGACCATCCACAGTATTTGCACTACTGGAGTCGTCCATTCTTGGAGGAAGTACCAAAGAGCACACGAAATCCCGAGCCACAAAAAACTCCAGAACGTATATCCTTGTCTCCTCTGTATTCCCCCTCGGGTCTCCATCCCACGAGAGATCGAATCACAATGCTAGTTATCCGATTCTAACGATCGGCTCTCTTAGACACCGCAGCAGCTGATCCAATTCTTCAAGTGATGGAGACACCGGCCGACGTCATCGGTAACCATGACAACCCCGGCAGCGTTTGAACGTTGCAAGACGTGCGGACGTGCCTTCCATAGGACTGGACGGCACGCAGGGACGTTCTCGAGCACACCGTGGCTATCTTCGTATTTCAGAGGTATCTCTCGAGAATCGGCTCACTTACCGATACAGGTCTCCGGAGTGCTTCGATAATAATATGCGAGCTCTGAAGCGGAAAGCGCGTTCAAAACTCTTGGAACCTCAAAATATTCGGTACGAATCTCGGAGTCGCAGCTCTGGAAGTCTGGAAGTATTTAGAATTGAAGAATATACCCTGCTTCCGCCGTTAAGATATTTGATTGATCGATCTGTGCACTGAGGAAGTACAGCAATATTTCGTGATACTCTTGTCAGTTGCGTGAACATTGACTAATGCTTGTCATCGTGATGAGTCGAATGTGGATCGAGAGGAGGAAACTTCGGTTTATTCCCTCTCTACAACAAATGGATCATCTATCTTTGTACAGGTTTTTCCTCGGAGGAAAAACATATAGACAAAAACAAGCAGGAGGCGTGATGATAGCTCGATTCGATCCGGACTCCGAACCAATCCACCGCCCGTTGACATTGACCGGACCGTACTGCTCCGAGAGTCCTGCTTCCGGTTCGTCGATGAGCTCCGTGCTCCTTCGCGGCCGGGCCGTATTCTTTCTCTTCTCATCCCGCTAAGTATCCGATTCCTTCTCATCGCTTTCTATCTCGACATCACTGGCCAGCTTGTCATCTGAATACTCTTCCTGCCCCGGAGCGCTGTCTGAAGTCTGGGGTCGGGGCGAAAAAATAATTATAATCCTGAAACATGGACAGCAGATGGGACTGTCGATTCCCGCAAATTCAGCGCGAAAGGTGGATAAATCCATCCGGCTCCATGCCTTCGCGTGAGATGAACGCCATCGGGGATAGTCATATTCCGTCCCGGATACAACATCCTCCGGCAGAGCTCTTTGTGTCGTACCTGATCGGCTGATCCCGCTTCGCTCTCATCGTCTGACGTCGAGCCTTGCCGTATTTTATGGAACGTGGTGAGACCATTATTCTCCATTTCGTAAATCAGCATCTCGCCTAAGAAGATGTTATTTCTCCAGTCGGGTCCAAGTTCCTGCGAGCGGGAACGATTCTGTGTCATCACTCATCAGCCGGAAAAAACTCGGAGATCGACAAATGTCAATTGGCTCAAGGAAGAAGCTCCTGACTTACACGCTCGTAAAGATCTTTGGGCATCAGATCCCAGCCTTTTGCGATAGCATCCTTGCTTCGCAGGCAGATGGATGGCTCGCAAATAATCTGGTCTCTATTGAGAATATTCTCGTCCAGAAGGAACTTTGTCGTTTCAGCGACGGAGTTCGTACTGACGAAGTGTCTAAATGGATTCCGTCTCAATTTTTCCTGATTTCCTGTCTCCCCTTGTCATCGGCGTTCACCAACCGAGTGATGGATCCCACAACCTGGTCCATCTTGTTACTCCACACTAAGTCGATCTCCAGCTCAGAGTCTCGCCGACTCCTAGTCCTACGGCGCACCTTGTAGAGCGCGATTCGTTGCAGGATATCTTGGAAATGCATACCTCGCATCGAGATATCTGTGTCATTCTCGGCCAGGCTCTGAAGGGTCGGAGGAAAACTTGAGATCTCTGCGGCGGACACTTTGATGCCACGACATCGCTTTTCGAAAGGCGAGAGAAACTCACTCCGTAGTCTTTGTTGGCTGGCGTTGCGAGGTACTGCGGATTGATGTTATAAATTTCAGGAAAGTGTTCCAAGAGCTCTGGCTTGACGCGCCGAGCATGCAGTATGTCTTCTAATTCGCAGAGCCTTTCAGCACTCATAGCCAGGATTTTCGGATTTCTCATAACCAAGTTCCGGAGCGCGACATTGTTTAAGGTTTTACACTAGAAGAAGATTGAAATTAGAGTGTGCTTGTGCTCAACCTCCTCGGGGGAGGGCCATGTTTCCGACATCTCTCCGAAACGTACTGATCCGAGTACGAATCGAAGATCTTACCCTATCAACGATGTCCCGAAGATTGTGGGTATTCACTAGGAATAAGTTTGGTTGAGATTTGAGGAAGGCCTTGTCCAGCTGCAAGTCATTCAGCAGGATATTCACTCGAGAACTGAGCAGACCGATGCTTTGTTTCGCTATCTGCAAATTCAGATTGCGGATCAGTTATTTCCGATATGGGGTGTGAAAGGGTTCGCTTCCGGGATCCCGACCCCATGGAAAAACGACCGCAGAATGAACCCACCATTTTAAGTTTCGAATCTGTTATGTTGAGATCTCCGATAGAAAAGCTCAGATACTCCTGAACAAGCGCGAATCGATACGCTGCCAGAGTGAGCGTTAGAGCCCCTGGACCTTTGAGTTTGGAATTCAGATGCGACTCGAGGCCGGGGCTGGGATTCTCGATGCAGGACACCATTCTGGCTAGGAGATTCGGGGCGGATATGAATTTCCGTCTGCGGAAAGAAGATTAACCGTTCGTAAATGAGTCGGTCGATCTCATTTTCTCCGTATCGTCTCGGGCGGAAACGCCGAGCTTCCACATCGGAATCCTAACTTGGATAAGAAGCTCACCTGTTCAGCTCGAATAGTGACATCTCACAGAGCTCGTCGAACAGAACAAGAGCAGGAACGGGGTCGATATTTTGGAAGCCTATTTCATTGAGGACCTCGCGACGGTTCTCCACTAGTCGCCACGAGAGGTTCAGAACCGATGGGAATCTGTAATATCAATAAATTGATGGGAAGAGCTCGATTTGGCTCCATTGAACTGGATAAGCAAGGGATGTTGAGTCGCATGACGCGAGGATCGGTCTTGGAGCTCTTTCCCCGAACCTCAAATCACCGTCAGTCACCGACCTGAGGATTCTATCTACAGGGTAGTTCGACCTGAGGATCCGCGCGGTCCACTCGAGTCGCGAGGCAGGTTTCTCTGTGATTTCTGGATACTCTTTGAGTATCGACTGGAGTCTCTCTTCATCACATAATAGGATTCGAGCGATCCTCCCCACTTTGTTTACATGATGTGGTTCCTGCGGAAGAAGCACGAATTAGAGCGGGCCGGGTCGGACGCTCTTGGCGGTAAACGCTCGGCGTCATTACGAGCAGAGCCGAATGTTTCCAGACGTTTGTCCTACCGGAGCGAGCACGTCTTGGTCCTCTATGAGCAGATCCGCGTTGGGTGGATCTCTGTGCTTTAGAGCTTCGACTGAATTGTGTGTCTTCACCACGCGAAGGAGTCCAGAATTCGACGCAAGCCGCCGCTTCGCGAAACAGGCCAAGCCAGACCTCCTGGCGGTCCACATGACCGCAATAGCTCTCTCATCCACCTCCCAGTCCGCAGACTGACCAAGGCGCGAGTCTCATCTACACCAGGACCAGGTGATCGCAAGATCAACAAGAAAATCCGAGCACAAGGCATTTTCCGTCTGCTAGCGATGTCAACAGCGAGCGATCGCCGCAACCACAATGCGCGCAGAGAGCTCAGCGCGCATACCGAGAGGGTGGATCCGATTTGTCACGCAAGGAGAAGGCACTAGAGTGTTCGTGGACCGAGCCCGCAAATTTTCGTTTGAAAGCGGGCCACTCGATGTTTCCACTAAAGGTTTTGTTTCCGGAGGGAAATCCTCGATGCAGAGAGGAAGGGGACCTTGTCTGAGAGTCTGAAGTCCACATATTGTCCCTTGAAGAATAGTTTCTCCTAGAGCAAGGGACCGAGTAAGAGCCGACAAACATCGTCAGGAATATCTTCTGCAGCAGGAGCGGGGGAAAACTCTCCAAATCGAAATCGACTTTTGTCGGAGCTCGGTTATGAGTTATGTGACAGCGACCATGCCAATGATCTTTGCCTGGCAGCTCGATGGAATCGGGCAGTCCCGCCGGACTCCTCACGGCTCATCCGAGAGGCTTTTCTCCACAATATTGCCTCAGAAGCCCCACTGATGAACAGAGGTGCAGGAATTACTTCGTAAGAGGGCATCGAGCTAATGCAATGGACACCATCCTCACGACGACCTTCCCTCATCTTCGGAGGCATCATTCCGAGGAGCGGCAGGGCTCGAGAGGCGAGATCTTCGCTCCGCCGCTTGTGACATCCTTCCACACGAGACCTAATCTCTTTGAGTGACGACAGAGATTTTCAAACTGCTCTTGATTGGGGCTCCAGGATAGGTTGTCCATGGCAATACGGCTCCTATATCTCAAGACAGCTTCGTTCGCCAACCGCCAACTTTCATTTATCCGGTTTCATCTCGATCAGCAGAAGCTCGAAAAGCTGAATTCTGCTGGAGCAGTCATTCAGAAAGAATCACCGGCTCAGTGTCGGCATAGCGAAATCGATCTCTAAATACTCATTTTTGACTATTCTCCTTGAGCTCTATCATCTCCGACACTACTTATGCGTCTTGCTAGATGGAGAACCTTCAGAGCTTTCCCTCGTTCTGCGGGACTTCTCAAAACGTCGGAGGACTCGTGAATCTTCGATGAATCGTTTATTACTTATTACGGAAGACCATGATGATCTCCGTACAGAAAGAGGAAGGTGGTCCTGATCGATCTTGATCAAGTACAAGCGTCATCCCCGTGATAGAGTGGAGACATCTATCTCTACCCACAATAGAAGACTCGCACTCGAGCCACTGAGGAGGGGCCGCTATAGCCCTGCGCAACTGTGAGTAATTCGGGAGAGTGTGGACGTGGCAACAGATCATCTCATCGTCAGTTGGGATGATGAACATTCAGTTATTTCCGTGTGAATGGCGATGACGAAGAGGGGCTTTGATCTCCTTGAACCGCTTGTATTCCTCCAGGAGTTCATCATCTCCCGGACCCCACATCTCGTGCGGTTGGAGAGCCTTCGTTATGCTCTGAAATTGTCAAAAAAAAACATGATTCAGTTACCCGCTCGCTGCTCAAAATTGTCGAATGTAGCCATATGGGAATCGAATAAACGCCATTCCCCAGGATCGCATCTCCGCAAATGACTCCTAGACTAAGATCGCGAGAGGGGCACGGAACTTCATAGAAAACTTGATGACCACTCACTCTCTTCTGAATCACAACTAGGATCGCAACGATGGGAATCTGTATAAACGAGAAAGCAGCCAAGGCTAGCCCCAAGTGATCCGCCCAGGCGGGATACGATTCCTTGTTGTTGTAGAGAATAGGTGTCCTCTCATAGAAGTAGCAGCCGATGATCCCGACAAGGATGAGAGGAGAAATCACCGTCCAAGATATCCTTATAAATATGTTCGGCTTCTTCCCAGCCATGAACTCAATGTCATCCGAGAATTTGTTGACACCTAGAGACACATGGATTTTTAGAGGAAGGACCACATGGATCATCCTTCTACTGCTCGGGAGTTCGTTCAGAAGGTCCCCGCGGTATACCGGAATATCTTCTGGGAGCTCGTCTTCTCACCGTAGAACCACATAATCGCAATGGTTTCGGCAGCCCCAGCCGCTAAAAGAGACACTCCTGAAGCGTACGTATCGAACAGATTCAGAACGTATTGACCACCCCTTGTCACGCAAGTGAGTCCAATCGCAAAGCAAACCGTGCAGGTCAGAAACGCCGCTAGAGCTTGATGGCGACGCATTATGGGGAAAGCGTCCGAAAAAACAGTGAGAGCGGTCTGCACCAGAGGGAACTGAAAATCGAAGGTTTCAGATCTCAATCGATCATATCTCAGCGTGGTCAGCGTCATTCAGGTCCAGACTAGCGCTCAATAATAGCAAGTCCCTGATTTGGAAGCGGTTCCTGAGACACTCGCGCGAGACAAAATTAGGAAGCTCACCTCGGAATCGATCCCGAGTAAAAACAGCATTACGAAGAAGATCACGGACCATAACTGAGGTAACCAGAGAGTCGTGAGAGCCTCTGGGAACACAACGAATGCGAGACCCTGTCCTTGTTTGGCCACATCTTCGATAGGGACCCCGTACGTTTCCGACATGTAGCCAAGAACCGAGAAGACAGCGATTCCCCCCAGGAAGGATGTGATGAGATCAGCGAGAATCACAATGATCGAGAAACTGAAATAAAGATTAAACAGGACTGATTCCCCGAAGTATTGAAGCCATCGCCTTACGGAGCAACCCTATCGCTCCCAGTTGGACCATCGATTGCCAACGCCCTCGATGAGAGTCATGATTACGCGAAAAGATGCCGCTCTGGGCGGGAACATAGTGAATGCATGCTCAATACGGCGGGCTGAGATGATTTGTCAGTGGTCATCACTTACGAGCTTGCGTCTGTGCGAAATTTGTTATAGCTCCCACTCATGATGAGTCCTCCCCAACCGATCCCAACCGAAAAAAATAATTGCTCTGCTGCTCTACGCCAAAGTGTGAAGGATTTGAGCTTTTCGAAGTCGGGGACCAAGAAGTATTTCAAGCCGCGCAGCGAACCATTCAATGTGAGTCCTTTCACGAGGAGAATCGTCAGCACGACATAAGGGAAGGTGGCGGTGAAGTATACAACCTAGCGGGAGAGACATATTCATGAGAACAGCGTCAATACGACCTCGAGGAAGATCGAGCTGACAGCATGGCGCAAACGAATTCAATTTCACACCTTCCCCGACGACGAGATGCCTTTGATGAGGCAGAGGAACACAATGACCCAGCTCAGGAAGAGGCAAGCCACCAAATCCCATTTCAAGCCGCCAACTTCAGATATCCCAGAAGAGAGATCTAGCACATCTCGCTCCCAGAACATTTCCGCAGCGGAGCTTGTCGCATTGCTGCAGTTCGCCATCAGAAGGGAGAAATCTTTCAGGGGAGCCTCGAACGTGGCTCCTGGATTCTGCAGAGAGATCGGAAAAGATTCCCCGGTGATGTTGGTGCCCCCGTACTCATTATAGAGCAGCCTCGGAACATTCGTGCAGAGGATGACGTCTGCAAGAATTGCAGACCGGCTCTTATTCCTCGAGATCATTGATCCCGGACTTGTGAAGATTCTTCAGAAGAATAGATCCCTGATATTCTTCCAAGGGAGTACCTCTGTTCCGTACGAAACATCTCTCGTTGGCACTTCCCCACCGATCATGGCAGTCGGCCCAAGGGAGAACTGAGCGGAAGGACTGCACCAAATAATATAGCGTGTAAGCCAAAATCACATTATAGTAGATCGCTACAAGCAACGACATTGTTACCATCGCGAAGCCGATCCCTGTAATATTGGAGGCTCTTCTAAGCTTTCGGGTGAATCGATGAGACTTGCGCATTCTTGAGGTACTCCTTGGTAAGTCTAATAATAATAACTCCAATAATAATACGAACCCTTCGCAATCGGCAAGCATCTCCAAACTTCTACTGGCCCTCGGCTAGAGAACTGCCCGATCGAGAGCTCCATGATATAGAGCGGAATGGCCATCACGAACATGAGTAGGATGTATGCGAAGAAGAAAGCTCCTGGAAATATTCGTCATGTCGAGTACCGATGCAGTCTCGTCGCTGGCTTCGCCCATGGAATCTTATCATCTACATGTTCGTTGATTGAAACTCCAGATACTGTCTGGCGAGAAGGAACGGCAGTCGATGTCTGACTCTGTGAGAATATCTGTGTAGTCTCGCTAGGGGCGGGGAATGTGAAGAGATCTGAAAAACAGAGAAGTTCGAGAACTCACCGCCTCCATTTTGATAAGCCAGGAATGGGAATCTCCAAATGTCTCCGAGACCGACCGCGTACCCGATGCAGTACAGAATTCCCTCCAACCGGCTGCCGAATCGCTCTCTCCCTTCTGACGTTGTCCTGCGGCCATCTTTCGGGACAACTCTGTCGACTGGAAAATGCAGTTATCGGGAGCGAGATCAGTGATGATCGGTTACGTCTACGATTCGTGCTTCAAGTTCATGGGAGGGACCTTCCCGCTAAGAATTCTATATTGAGATGAAACCCTCAGAACAATCCATTTGAGACCTTGGGATTCGCTCCCGGAGTTCGGGGAGCCGAAAGCTCATATTCGGACGCGATTTCCCCAAGTTATTGTTCTAGGGCAACGTGTATTCGCTACATGGCGATCGCTCGAACCGCGACGCTCGGATTATGATCGCGGTAACCGAAATTAAAAGACCTCCCTTGTTTTCAAGTATCCGTCATAGTTCGACGGCTATGTAGACGCATAGATAGTCGGAAGAGTCTAGAGCCCCAAACATGAGCTGTATTTCATCTCACTCAGTCTCGAGCTTAGAATACACTCACCGTCCATGGAACTCAAAGCATCATCGGAAAGAATATTAGATCGGAATACATTCATATGTGACTCACTTTCGAAGTTTGTGTCCGCCGTGGTGGACGTCATCGGGCAATATCCCGCTCGCAGTCGAAAATGTGCTGCAGTTGCCAGCGGATCGACCACCTGGAATTGTTGTGCTCGCCGACGAATAATGAGACGCACTTTGCGGATGGAAGTCCCCGAGATGTCTATTTCAGACTCGTGCCGCGCCGTCGTGATACGAAACCTCGAGATTAATGGAAGAGGTCCTCATCGATTCGTCTCCCCTGGAGAATTGGCGAATGGAGCAGGTGTAGGGTATTCTCCCTGACACGGACCGCTATCCGACTCGATGCTGCAGCGAGCGAATTACTTTTAGCGGGATCGTGCCGAGGGTCACGACTCACTACGATGCTGAGGCTGCACCGAGACTCCCAGATCAGCTCTCAGCTCCGTATGCATGTGCTCTGCGCTCAGGGGACCCGCCATCTTGCCTGCAAGGCAGATGCAAGGTTTCGATCGCACTCCATTGTGCCATACCATGCACTTCTCCTCTCGGATTTGGTGTCGGAAATTTATGCCCAACGGCTCGAAGAATGCTGATGCTGCGGAAGCTAGTGCCGACGCTGGAACCTTTTCGAATTTCAAGACAGAATCATGATCTATAATTATTGTGGCGAGTCAGAAGTATCGGAATCCGGATCCGAAGGATGGCGAGTCGAGTCAGAACACCAATAAAGGAAGGGCTGGATACGAATGCGGTCAGATGCAGGTTGTCGCGCTCAATCGGCTCCGGAATTGAACTCCGTTCGAGTAAAGGATGAAATTTACGAAGGGTTCCGAGGGGATCTCTCTCGGAATCTGAAATCAGCTGAAGAAGTTTTGGGCCTCTCGAGGACATTGACATTCGTGATTGCACTTTTCCGACTTTATTCTTCGCACTCACTCATCGAAAAGCTTGTTTTCGGTGATACATACGTACAGACTGTGTGGGAACAGATTCGAGGGCGAGTCGATCCAAGGACAAGGGACGACTGCCGAAATCCCCAAAATCTTTGGCCACGTATGGAATAGGTATCCAGCTCCATTTGCCAGCTAAGAGTACCCAGGCATCGAACTGATTAACACGCCCCGGTAAAAAACTCGTTTCTGATCGTACAGAGGGGATGCGAGATATATGTAAATGTAGATGATTGTGGAGGACTGAATCGCATAAACACGGCGGCGAATCACGTCCTGTACGGAAGACAGCACACTATTTGCAACAGAGTGAGGGTGAAATGGTCTCCGGAAAACTAGCCCGCGGCCTATGTATATATTATATAAAAACTGGAGTTTACAAGGCTTAATCTCTGAAGTCCTTTGGTTTTCGTTGAGATGCTCCGAGGAGCGGATCGGATGCCTCTCCGAACCTTCACTGGTCATCCCCTTTAACCTCTCGATGGCGCAGCTCCAGGTCTTCAAAGTCGTTCTTGAATTTCTTGTATGCCTTCAGGAGCTGTTTTTCCCCAGGTCCCCACGTTTCATGGGGTTGGAAAGCTTCGGATATGTTCTGCAAATGGAGGAACACAGTTTCGTTTCGGAGCGCAATGAAATATTGGCTGTTTTTTTTCAGCCATTCCATCGGAATTGAGGATCGGCACACGTATTTATCAGAACAGTTCCTCACTTTCTTCCTGAATAGCACAAACAGGGCGACGATCGGAATCTGGACGATCGAGAATGCGGTCAAGGCCAGACCCAGATAGTCTGCCCATGCAGGATACGGCTCCTTATTGTTGTAAACGATCGGTGTCCATTCGAAGAAATAGAAGCCGATGAGAACCATCAAGATGACCGGTGAGAATATCGTCCACGACAAACGGAACAGAATATTGGGTTTCGATCCGAGCATGAACTCAACATCATTCGAGAATTGTTTGACACCTGAAAATAATAAGATATCATCCGATTATTCTGATCTATCATGAAACATCGATGCTCGGTGGTCTTTTCTCGATCTATGCAAACATCTCTATTCTCTGCACACGGAGTGTACTCACCGTAGAGCCACATAATTGCGACAACCTCAGCGGTCGCTATGGCTAGGAGTGAAACACCGGCACAGTAATAATCCAGTAAGTTCAGGACGTATTGTCCGCCCCTCGTGACGCAGGTCAACCCCAGCAGGAAGCATACCACGCACGTCAAGAAGGCTGTGAGAGCCCTGTGGCGCCGCAAAACAGGAAAAGCGTCTGATAGGACTGTCAGAGCTGTCTGCACTAGAGGGAACTGGAATGATGTCGAAAATTATTTCCCACGCGTATGATACGTCATTGAGCAAAGTGTTCCGAGTTCGAGGTGCTTCTCCGATCACATCGAGGGATACTTACCTCTGAATCAATACCGAGTAGATACAGCATGACGAAGAAAATCACAGACCATAATTGGGGGAACCAGAAGGTCGTCAAAGCCTCCGGATACGCGACGAACGCAAGTCCTTGACCTTGTTTGGCCACTTCTTCGATCGGAACTCCATACGTCACCGACATGTAGCCCACGACTGAGAAGATAGCGATGCCTCCGAGGAAGGATGTGATAAGATCAGCAATTATCACAATAATCGAGTCCCTGGTGAAAGATTGATTCGTTTGAAACTCTTTAGCGGACGATCGCTCGTATCGCATTTGCTTCTACAATGTCAACTCACACCGTAGTGACAGTGCGGAAGCTGTTGTAGCTCCCGCTCATGATGAGTCCACCCCAGCCGATCGCCAGGGAGTAGAATAATTGTTCAGCGGCTCGACGCCATATGGTCAGCGACGTGAGCTTGCCGAAATCGGGAACTAAGAAGTATTCCAATCCCCTGCTTGCACCATCGAGAGTAACGCCTTTCACGAGAAGGATCGTCAGGACAACGTATGGGAACGTCGCCGTGAAGTACACCACCTACGACGGAAAGTTCAGTTGGGACCTCTTGACAGAAACAAAGATCTCTCTAAGCCAGGATTTCATTTCCAGCGTCGCAGAGGGAAATGGGAAGCTTCGCTGAAGCTCCTAACCTTGCCAGAAGAAGATACGCCTCTGATCAAACATAGGAACACGATGACCCAGCTCGCGAAGAGACAGGCGACCAAGTCCCATTTCAGACCCCCTATTTCTGAAATTCCAGATGAGAGCTCGAGAACCTCCCGCTCCCAGAACATTTCGGCGGCCGACATCGTCGCATTGCTACAGTTAAGCATCAGAGTGGCGTACTCGACCAGCGGCACTTTGAATGGACTGCCTGAGTCATCCAGGGATATCGACACTGTCTGTCCTGTCAAATTGGTGCTCGCGTACTTGCTGTACAGAAGCCATGGAACACTTTTGCACAGGACCAAATCTGCAGAGGAAAAAATTTTAGCGAAGATTCGTAGTGCGATGCGTAGGTTCTCAGTCGAGCTGAGCAGCTGGGAGTGTCAGGAGTAATGCGAATCGACTCGGTTCCCTCCATCCTCCGCGTTCGATTATATCCCTCGAGTCACCTTTATCATGAACAAAGCATGTATCCTTGTCCGTGTTCCACCAATCGCGACAGACTGCCCAAGGCAGGACCCACCGGAAGGATTGAGCTAGATAATACAATGTGTACGCCAGGATAACATTGTAGTAGATTGATACCAGTAACGAGACTGTAACCATGGCAAAGCCGATTCCTGAAATTTAGAGGCAGTCAGAATATCTATCCAATGACATTCGTTCACGAATGACGCCTCCCTTGAAACCTTGCTCCACTGGAATGAGGAGCTGATCGAAAACCATTGCTGATGACGAACCTTTCGCTATTGGCATGCATTTCCAAACTTCTATCGGTCCTCGGCTGCAGAACTGTCCGATCATGAGCTCCATGGTGTAGAGCGGTATAGCCATGATGAACATCAGGACGATATACGCGAAGAAAAACGCTCCTGGGGAGTAGATACATACATCTCAAGAAACGATCTGAGGAAATGATTCCAATGAGATATACAATCTGGATTTCTATCTGGCTGTCACCTCCGCCATTCTGGTAAGCAAGGAAGGGGAAGCGCCAAACATCTCCGAGTCCGACGGCGAAACCGATGCAGTATAGAATTCCCTCCAATCGACTACCATATCGCTCTCGCTGCTCCGTGACGCTCTCAGTGTCCGCCTTCGACGCAGCCTCTTCACCTGCGAACGAGAAACCCAAATCATGAACCATGGTAGCACGATCGCGCTGATCCGGGATACAGGTGGTTGCTCCTCCGAGTTCCGGCAGTGTCGGGCCAGGATTCAATGGCAAGGGAATCGAATCGCATCGCTCGTCCGAGATCCGAGACACGTCTGCTCGAAGTGAAAACGCGAGGAAACTTCATCGCAGAACGGCGCAATTTTTTTCCAGACTCGTAGCGCGACTTCTCATGCCGCTGCGCGCTTCCGCGTTCTGCTCGCGAGGTAGCGAAACGGATCAGCTACCTATCTCAAGAATGCAAACTCCTAGACCACTCCGGGCAAACTGGCTCCGTGGAACGATTTCGGAAGCATGAACATGATCTAGCTAAGATCGATGTCGCTTAAGTCAGCCAGGGATGCTCGAAGCCGATCAGCTTTCTCGTTCAGAAGAAGCTGAACTAACAGGACCCTGGACTGGCATTGAATGTTTCGGATAAGGGGAATCGCGCCGGACGTTCTAAGCTATCGTCTAGTGAATTCCTTTCGTGTGAAGGTCCTCGATCCGTTTCGGACTTCATTCGTCACTCTTTTCCCTATCCGAATGCAGAAGGAATCGATCGGCTTCTCTATCGGCTTGACCGCATGACTGCGGATAACAGACCGCAACGTCACAAGACCAGTGGATCGCGGACAGCCACCACCCGACAGATCTCACCGGCGGTCTTTCACTCGCTGCGCCGACTCAGTACTTAAGCGACCAGTCCTCAGGATGTGCCCGAGAGCTCGATCCCTCCGGGGGAGAGCCATCACTCCTTACTTGAGCTTTCGCAGTCGTCAACTTCGAGCTGGGGGAGTTCGTCGTACTCCAAACTCATGTCATCTAATTGTGTGAGTTGAAGAGCAGGGAACAGGAGGGAAATTGATCCAGATGTAAAACACCGGTTCCGATGAACTGTCTAGAGGGAAAACATCGGCACAGGGAGTTATTTATTTCACAGAACCCATACATCACTTCAGTGCCGCCGAGCAGATCCGAAGTGAATGACTGCGGCAGGCACACCCGTGTCGACTAGACAACACAGAGAGCAGGGCAAGTTGATGCCAACGATGGCCACAGGGGGCGCCTCTCGCGACGAAGTCTCTGAAACTGAAATTGAGCGGAACGCCTACCAGAAGCAGCTGACCAACGATACCATTGCCGATGACGGCAATGTTAGTGGGGTCACTGACGTCAGTCAGTCGATGACAATGACGAGTTTTGAGCGGATTTTCAAGGGTCTCCGTCTGTGCTTTCAACGGAGAGAGAGAGCCTGGGATCGGCGCTACGCGGCCCGAAGCTCCTTGACTCCCAGATACCTGAATGCCGCGTGCGCGAATCTCCAGAAATTGGTGGATTAAATGACTCCGACTAGGTATACACATCCTCCCCGATGCTGGAAAAGCGGAATCTAGGCCCATGTCCCTACGAAGCCGATGAAAACAGGACGAAGTCGTTTTATGCCCCCGCGATCACCCCGAGCTTCGAGTCGCTTCTCGCCTCCCCAATCAGTCGAATCGTCAAATCAGTCCAAAGGGAGAAGTCATGTCTCTGCCGATCGGGTATCTCTTCTGCAGCATTCTACGAGATGCCGAGTGACTTCTGAATTCAGCTTTACCCTCAGAGGGATCGTGGACCCCGAGCTCTCAAGGTCGCGGAGCTCAGCCTCCTATGTCCCGTTATTTCTCATGATCTGCGAGTCCACGATGAGACAGGGGGAACCTCGACCGCGTCCTTTGCTGCGTACAGAGGACAGACTCGCTATCGGCAAAGCCCGAGGCGATGATCAGACGGGGCATAAGCCTTTGCGATTTGATAGGTCAGGCGTTGGTGCCGTCTTCGAAGATGGATTGAGATATCGAGATCGATGGCGTTGGAGAACTCGAGACCCAATCCTTGAGCCTGAGGATCCACCGTCTCGAACGAGGAAATAACATTTGCAGACGAGCCAGGAAGTAGCTCGATACGGGGAGAAGAAACTGGCTCGAGCTCTGCGGAGGACGCTGGGCGAAATCGAGACATTCCGAGGCTCTGGAGATCGCCCCGAGATAAGAGTCGAGATCAGAACCTTTCAGATGTATCCGACGCGGTCGCTTTCTAAGGTTCTTCAGGAGACTCAACGAGCGGGTCGATGGCCGCCAACACAACCCTGCGCTCACGAAACGCCAACGATAACTCCTCCGAGTGAAAATACGTGTTCGTTCCCATCCTTCCCGTCAGATCTCCTTCTCTTTGCTTGTCGCCGGTTCCGGCTGCCGTTAAGGTTCCGGAAATTCTACACGCATACATTTGACTCAGGGAAGGAACAATTTTGCGGGAAACACTCTATGCTCCTCCAACATATGTATATTCCACGTTTCCAGTATCTCAAACTAAGCCCCCGAAGCAATGCGAAGTCCCCGCGATTCGAAATCGCCAAAACCGACTCCGTATCATAGCCACTCCCGTAGCGATTCCTCTGAAGGAGGAAAAGGATTAAATGAATCAGCGAAACAAATCGGAGCTCACTTGTCATCTTATGCTGTCTCCCACACTTCGGACGAGGAACGAGCACGTCACAGAAATTTATCGGTGAAGATGCTTTCCCGGTCGAATCTCAGTCACTATCATCTGGTGTCGTCACCTATTTCCACAATCAATCCACATGCATCCGTCAGGATGGTGAAATGGAACCGAGAAGTCGATTCCGGGCAGGCTCACGCAATATCACGTCTATCAGTGTTGAAGTCGATTTCTCGAGCTCACTAACAGCCGAGTTGCATCAGCACGTGTCAGCAGACTTGAGACCGAGCCGCGGCCGTGTTTTGCTCAGCTCGGGTCGGAGAAGTCCCGACCTACGCACTCATTTCATTCAGAGATCAGCGCAGTCGGGTAAGCCTAGGAAGCCTGGCCTCAATGCTCGCCACGGCCCTTGCAAGAGATTCGATCGAACGATAACTAAGGGCGAGTGATATTATCAAAGAAAGACACTCTGCACTATTGATGGAGTGCGATTCGTGTGAACGAGTCCCAATCAGCTTGTCGTATCGAGTCAAGGATCCCACCACGAGACGCAAGTATTTCCAGAACTCCCTATCATAGCTGGTGTTCTCTTGGTGCTATCGATGAATCGAGTCGGATCTCCGCCGGGTTCGGAGTCAGAACCTCTTCGATCTACATCTTCATCCGAGTCCCGCCGGGAGGTAGGCAGTAATTCTGAGCGTGCCCATGCCAATATCAGATGCTTCGAGCTCGACTTGTCACGGTCATCGTTCTTGAGGAGAGGGAATGATTGAGGCTTAGTCCTCGAGCACTCCGTCATGGAAGATTCGGTCACCACTCAAAATGAGTTTGTAGAGGATCTCAACTCGGAGAGGAGCTCCCCGAAGGTCGGGCTGACCCGTCGCGTCGAGGGTCAGGGATTCAAGGTCGCAGTGATCTTTTGTTGTCCAATCAGCAATCGGAACATTCTGTTGGAAACATGACTCGGGCCACCGAGGGGATGGGGGGCAAGCTCCGAAATCATCGACGAAGTCTCGAATCGCGAGGAATTGAACGACTGTCGTTGAATCTTCCAATCCGAAATCTTGATTACCGCCAGAGGCCGCGTGGGCGGCAGATTTTCGAATCTGAATGCATGACATGATTTCATCCAATGTCCGTGACGGTTCGGCGACGGCGAGAAACCCCTCTATATGGCTGCTTTCGATATTCATTTGAGACCGGAAATTCCGAGCCTCCCGACATGCCTCCTTCCGGGGATGTCGCTTCTGGAAGACGATTTTCGGGGCTTGACTTCCCCAAACGGGACCCAAGACATCCTTTGACTTCCATGAAATCTAACCTGAGAAAGCCCGAAAATGCGAAGGTAGGGGCCATAGTTGATCCCTTCCTTGGATCATCTCTCATGACACCAACTTACTGACCCTACAGATGAGGGAGTCTTGTCCCGTGATCGTCGAAGTACCATAGAACCGTGATGGTCTTTTGGGCCGGACCACGGAGGCCGCCAGCCTGGCAGCGAGCATGAGATCTTTCTGAAAGTGCCCAGACGACAGGACATGCCCGACATGTATTGCTTATACAATAGAGTAATATAGGACGGCGGCGCGGTAGAACCACGCGGAGTGAACCGGCGAACTCCACTCACGAGTGACTCTTGCGTTCGGCGGGGCCTCCGTCCTCCGCGCGTCGAACTCGAGCCCCATACCCTGCTCGGAGGATGAATCGAAGACACTCTACGTAGCTATTCTATTCGTCAGACGAAAGAACGCCTCCTCTATAGGATGAATAAGGACTCTGATTTCAGAGATCGCACGCTGTCTTGCGACCATGTCTCTGGAACGGCCTTCCCATATATCTCCTTTTTTCCGCAGAAGACACCCCCATCTCGTTCCTAAGACAAGGTCCTGTGGTCTAGCATCGTTCTTTCTTCACTGTCGGTCTGCCGGAAGTCGTTTCGATCGTGCTGGGACTCACTCACCAATCGAACAGTATCATCGACCAATAGCGGAATACTCTTCTCTTCCTTTAAGTTTTGGACCGATAGATCAGCTACTTGAGTACTTCTGAAGGTCGTCCGTCCATTCACCTCTATATTCGAGCGGCTTCCAAGCAGCAGGCTAGCCTAGCCAGCGATGAAACGTTTGCGACCACGTGACTGCTTGAGCTCCGTGTATATATTCAGCAGTATCTGTGCGGGCATGCCTCAGAGATCTGTCTGACGGGAAGGCAGACAGGCTGCCCGGCCGCCCGAACGGATGAAAGTCTCTGAATCGAGTTCGGAATGCTTTCTTTTATTTGAGTGTCGAGAGCCCCTACTCCGCCATTTCTGCTGCTGTAGGGATCCATGTCACTTAAAGTATGTACAAAACTTTGGGAGAATACGATTATGAAACATGAGTTCGGTGAAAAATGATTGAAGCTCGTTTCCCTGAAGCATGATTAATATAGGGAGTACCCGAAGCATTTTTCCCTGAATCTGCATCATGCGGGAAAACTGAGGAAAGAATCTCCAGATAGTCGCTCAGATCAGATGTGAATGATGGTATTCCCTCTGTACAATTGGAGTCCATGCGTATCTAAACTGATCCGATGTACAGTGACTTTTTCGAAGTCCGAGTTACGCTTCAGTTCAGTTCGAATTTCATCGTGCATGTCGGGCATAGCAGTGATGGCACACAGGAACCCGCCGCCACCGGCTCCCAGGAGGGAGTAACCGACGCAAAATGGTTCCACGACTCTGATCAACTGTGTCACTTCCGTGGGCTCGCTATTCTCAGCGAGCTTCTTCTTCAACTCCCAGTACTCAGTGAAGAGAGCGGCGATCCTGCTCAAATCTCTGGTCTTGATAGCACCCTGCATCTGCATGCTCCCAGTATGCAATTTCCGGAAGCAGTCCATCATGGCAGGACAATGCTCGAACCATCGATTGACGACGACATCCAGTATGTTCTTCGCCAACCGAATTTTCCCTGTGTAGAGGAGTACCATGTGTTGCTCCAGGAGCTCAACGAACCCGTCCTCCACAGGAAGGGGTTCGAATTTGACCTGCAGCAGAGGTCCTGGCTTCGAGAATCCTCGATTGATGCCCCCCAGAACCCCGCCGACTTGATCCTGCCATCCTCCTCCCGTTGTCAGCAGCTGTTCCACGGCAAGAACAACTAACAGAAGTGATTTCCGGTCGAAGAGATTACCCGTTGCGCCCCAAATTACGGCGCACAACGCGCTTGCCAAGATGCTGCTCGTACCTGCAGAATGAGGAAAAAGCTCGCTCGAGAATTTCTCTCATAGTTCCATTAAAATTCGCCAGAATAGCTGAACTCGGATAACGAGGCCCTCTATTGATGGGACAGACAAACTCACCTAGTCCGCTCCCGTGAGGGAGATGAGTCACAGAGACGATATCTAAGCCGGCTTTGTAATCTTCGAGCAGCTGGTCTTTCAAGGGCTTGCTCTTGTCAAAGATATTACAGGCAACCACACAAGCTTTCAACAAGGCTCCTTCAGTCGAAGGATCGCAGAAGTCCAGAAGGTCCTCCATGGTTTCCACTTCTATAAGTCGCTCAGGTCCGTTTTTCTCGATCATCAAGAGCTTCAACATCGAGTGATTCTTATTGAAACGAGCTTTCGCCGAGATCGGTTTCACTCCATCTACCAGGATTCCCATGTTCACCACGGAGCCCCCCATTTCGTAGCAGATCGGTGGAGTATCCGTCCACCCACCGTACAAATCTATACGAGCGGGACATTTTGCTTCGACCCATGTTCCGTCGGCTTTAGCTACAAAGTCTTTAATGAAGGAAAGAGAATTAATATTCGGGAATGAAGCGATCACACGGGAGCCGGTAGAGAGAAGATGCACATTCATCATGCTCTACCGAAGCTCGAATGATTATCATCTGGATTCGAACTGGGAATTCCACCAGAGGTTAGGTCATGGGGTCTCGAGAAAAAATATAGCTCACCATTGTCTTTTATGATATTCAAATGATTCAAGACATCGAGAACTTCCTTCCGCACGAGTTCTTTGTGGTTCGGGCTCTTCGTTTCGCTCTCGACCACTTCGGGTTTCTGAGGTTCGACTGATAAGGGAGCTTCCTCAGCTGGTGGTGACGGCTCTGGTGCGACTCCGTTCGTCGTCGTCGCGGTGGGTTCTTCTCCACTCATTGTCCTGCTGGAAAATTCGGAGCCGTAAATGAAGAGTCTGTACGATATCAGCAGCGATGAATCAGGTATCATGATTCATGATGATTAGATTGTTTATTGAAGAAAAATTCACACAGGCTCCGATGGATGATTTTGAGTTTCGGAAGAAAACGAGCGAGTGGCGTATGTATAAGCGAGTTTAATTTGATGTCCGAAGTACACACTCATCGACGTCTCAGAGAATTCATTATGGCGATTCCGTCGGAGCGAAAGATTCATGAAACGGGAAATCTACGATGAGGAAACCGTTCAGAACAGAGAACATCATCATGATCACAAGTCCATGGCGCCAGACGCGTTGGGGATCGATATAAGTTTTTGTAGGACTGTTCATAGTTTTTGGAGACTCTCTCTCAATACGTCCACAGTGAAGTCCGCGTCTTCTCGGGTGATGCACATCGGGGGCTGGATGCGGAGAACGTTTCCGAAGTTACCGCCTCGGCCTATCAGTAGTCCGCTCTGTCGTGTGAGATCCATAATCCTGGCCATTTTCGCGGCTGCGAGCGGCTGTTTTGTTTTTTTCGATTCAACAAGTTCAACACCTATCATCAAACCCTTGCCACGCACATCACCAACGATTTCAAATTTTCCTCTCAGACCCTCGAGTTCGCGTATGAGATGCTCCCCGAGAACAGCACAATTCTCCTGGAGTTTGTCTTCTTCAATGACGTCGAGGACCGCAGATCCGATGGCGCAAGCGATAGGATTCCCCCCGAAAGTGTTGAAGTGATTAGCCTGAGCTAGCGTGGCAGCGATTTCAGGAGTTGTGACCACGGCTGCCAGGGGGAAGCCGTTCCCGATACCTTTGGCCATCGTCACAATATCCGGAGTCACGCCGTGGGTTTCGAAACCCCAGAAGTGGCTGCCAGGTCTCCCGAAGCCGGTCTGGACCTCGTCCGCGACGCAAAGTCCGCCTCTTGATCTCACCATCTCGTAGACTTGCGGTAGAAAGCCTTTGGGAAACTGAACAATCCCACCCACACCCTGAATACTCTCGGCGAAGAAGCCCGCCATTTTCTTCGAAGAAATGGAGTGATCTAGAAGATCTTTGAACTGCCCGGCGTATCCATCGGCGGCTTTGCATGAGGACTGGCAGTCGCAGGAACGATCTGTCTGAACTACGCTATCCCTGCAGTTTCTTCCACCCCAAATCCCCCGATAGGGATCAGCGTTCATGGTGTGATGCACTCCAGAATTGCCTGCTTGGGGTCTTTTGTAGCTGGACACAGAGCACAAACTCGCGCAGTACGGCGTCATACCGTGATAGGCGTTCCGTAACGAGACCAGGTCCCAGGCTCCCGTATGCGCCCTCATCAACATCATGGCGAGATCGTTCGCTTCGGATCCACTGTTGACGAAATAACACACTTTGAGATTGCCAGGGAGTTTCGCCGTGAGTTTTTCCGCGAACTCGTGGATGGGTCTTGTCAGATAGATATTTGAGGTGTGCCAGAGCGACTTCAGCTGTTTCTCAGCCGCCTCGTTGACTCTGGGGTGGCAATGACCGACGGAAACGGTTACGATTCCGGCGAACATATCGAGATATCGTCGGCCCTTCTCGTCCCACAACCACTGCATATGACCCTGGGTGACATAGAGGGGTTCGCTGTAGAGCAGGTTCGCCGTGAGGGACGGATTGATGTTCTTCTTTCGCGAGGCGAGTATGTCTGCGGCTTTCGGTCCGCTGTACGGCTCTGGCGTGAAAGCGCATGGCGGTAGTGTAGCGAGGCGGCGTATGGGCACCCGGTTCAGCATGGCGACCTACGGATGGAACGTCATCAAGTTCGCGCTTAGTTTCTCTCAGAATATCTGTATCTTCTGAATGGAGCCTTCAAAACGAGCTCCGGGACCGAACCGTTTCCGACGAGCGATGTCCTACGTGTTGCTATGTCGAGCGAAGACACCGAATGCCTGTTCGGTTCGCGGGGCCTCCTTCGACACTCTGCGGCCGACCGACAGACCGGCTGACAGTCCGTGAGTCTGTAGCTAATCAAAAAGCGCCGGAGAAAGGGGAGATACTCTTGTTTCATCGAGGGAGTCGAACGTAGACTGCTCTCGAGACGACAGCGCTCGCAGCTGTCTCGGAAGCTTTCGTTGACGCGCTCCGTTCCGCGATAGATTCTACGGTGACGGCGATATTGCGGGTCGTACCTATCGAATCACGAAGCCTCGACTCTCGGGACACCAGCTCGACTTCCAGATAGGTCTTTATTGCACTTCTCATATCAGGAATTTCAACACAGTATGCGAAACTTTTCCTCTTTCGGTACCCGATTCACAACGAGCCTCCCGTCGTAGCTTATCGACGCGAAAATCCAGGGATCGTTCGGTGCCCATTCGGTGCAGTAAATAGAATCCTCGTTATCATCGAATGTTTCCAAGAGCACGTCTTCTTGCTCTTGACTGGCCTCGTCCGAGCTCACGCTGGCCACTCTCAACAGATGAACTTTCGAGTCGGAACTACCGGTCAACACCAACTGATCGTAGTAGGGATTGTATCTGACACTCCACACCCAATGTGAGTGATGGCGCATGCTCACGACGGGCTTCTCGAGATTCCTCAAGTCCCAAAATTTCACCGAGCAATCGTCGCCCGACGTAGCCAACACGTTCGGTCTGTTTGGATTGAAATCTAAGCTCCGTATTTGATTCGTATGAGCGTTAGGAACACACCAGCACTCCTGGAGGTTTCGCGTGTCCAGTCCTCTCAAAGTGGAATCGCTGTTGAGCGCCAGCAGGTCCCCGGGAGGGCTGAAGCCGAACGCAAATGTCTTCAACGTATTTTTCGCCTCGATTTTCGAACTCTGCGAAACTTTTCCGGTATCGAGATCGTGGAAAACTACCTGACAATCAACCAGAGCGGCGAACGATTTCCCCGTCGATGGTTCGAACTGAATTTGGCGAACTTCGGTGCCAATCTCGGCAGGAGGTGAAACTTCGTATTGGAGGTCGAGGGCGTCGTCTCGCATTTTAAATATCGCTCCTCGTTTACAACAGCCATCTCCGGAAAGTCGGTTGAAACACGTCGCGATCAGCGGGCTTTCGGGATGTGTTGCCAAGTGCCAGATCTCTCCATGTGGATGAGGATAACTCTTCTTGTCGAGCGAGTTCGAAATTTCGTCATCGAACGTGAGCCGGTGGATGTGGTTCTCCGATCGAAGGGATTGCGTTCCCACGAGGAAAGTGTTCTGGTCACTACCGTTCTTGTATGGCACTAGAGTCCGAGCGTGGAGCTCTATTCCCTGGATGAGAGCGGCTTGCGTCATCCTCGGTCGTTGGACACAGACCCGTGACTCCGATGTTTTCGGCCGATACAATCCTGTCACGTGAACATTGCCACCGTCCGAGCCCAATTGGCGCCTGATGGGAACGAGAACTCTGCTCTGAATTTGATAAAAGCGGCAACCGCGGAGGGGCTACCCTGGTCAATGTTGGTAAACAGCTGGTCCGTTGTGTTCTTTGACAGCCGGCGCTCGAGATGAGCCGGCCCTTAGACCGCCCATCGACGGATTCGATCGAAACCGCCCTCTAATCGAACGAGAAATCTCGTACAGTATCCGGGAGAGAAGACCATCGTCTAATGATCTGGTTTGGTGGGTATACCGGGCCGGGGGGGAAAGATCCCCTTTATCAGCTCGCTGGATAAACTACACTATCGTCGAGTTGTTTTTGCGCGTTCAGTTCTGATCTTGCCCCCAATGGATCGAGCTCCGGCTTCGGTCGAATCCGGAACTCAGCCGACTCACTGCATGCGAAAATCTACTCTAGAGCTCGGGTACTCACGGTTGAGCAATTCAGTCGCGACCGATGACACAATCGAACGTTCCCTGAGTGCGTCAGCGGGACACCACCTGATGGTTTTACGCGTTGTCTACGCCGACAATGAAGGCCAACGGTGGTTAGATCCTGGAGCTTTCGAAGAATGCGTTCATCCCTTGGGGAAAGAGCTCCTATTGTGTTTATCGAGTAGGATCGGATTGCGTCCCGACCTCCCGGGAACGACTTCCGTCCAGAACGAGAACCGAAGGTCAGAGATCGATTCGAGCTGGAAAGAATCCGATTTCCCGTCGATCTGACCGATTGAATTGATTAAGAATTTTTTCAAGAACCTGGGGGAGGGTGCCCTCTCTTGTTTTTGAATCGGGGATCCGTCTGCTGCTCGGGACGACGACGGGCCGGCGAGCCGAGCAATCTAAGGTCTCTTTTCCTCTCCGGTTGTAGCGAAGATGGCGGCACAGGGAACGCTCTACACGTGCAAGGATAACTTCCGTTCAAGGAATATCCTCATCGCCGCTGAGTACGGCAAAGCCAAGCTCACGGTTCATCAAGAGCCCCCGAACTTCATCTTCGGTGAAACCAATCGTTCGGATGCTTTCTTGGCGAAGTTTCCGCTTGGTATGTATCGCATTGTCAGCCACGTTGGAACCAGTTCCAATTAGATGATCATCGCGATGATGACCCGCGACAATTCTCGATTTCGGATCGCTCCGCTCGCTCTTGGAGTTTTGAAGCCAGTTTTCGGATATTGGTGTGCGATACCGATCCTCGGTCATCATTCGACACGGATGGCGTGCTTGACGTTCATAATACGGATCCATATTGAACGGGAGCTCTCGCCGGCGCGCTCTATGAAACTGCCATTCTCAAGGATCAGAATTCTCCTCACTATGCTCAAAATCCTCAACGGGAGCTCTAACACGTCCTCACGCATCGTCATGCCCCCCCCCTTCCCTTAGGAAAAAGTTCAGATATTTCCAACCTGGTGCTCTATGAGTATTCCGCCAGATTCCTAATCCGCAATATCTCAATTTCAGGGAAAGTGCCCGCTTTCGAAAGCAAGGACGGTGTGAAACTCACTGAGGCCGCTGCCATCGCGTACTACGTTGCCGGCAATGAGCTCAAGGGCAAGGATAATGCCCAGAATGCCCAGATCCTCCAGTGGATCGCTTTTGCCGACAACGAAATCCTCCCGCCAGCCAGCGCTTGGACTTTCCCATGTCTCGGAATCATGGGTTTCAACAAGCAAACTCAAGAGAAGGCTCAGGCCGAGGTGAAGACTATTCTCTCCTACCTGAACAAGGTATTCCTATCGAAGACTTACCTCGTGGGAGAGCGCATATCCCTGGCGGATATCGCCGTCTTCAGCGCCCTGCTCAATCTGTACACTCTCGTCTTGGATCCCGCGTTCCGCAAGCCGTACGGCAATGTCAACCGATGGTTCGAGACCGTGCTGAATCAACCGAATGTCAGGAAGGTCGTAGGCCAAGCGAAACTCTGCGAGGTTGCAGCGCAGTTCGATGCCGCAACTTTCGCTGAAATCCAAGGCAAGGGCGACTCCGCCAAGAAGACCGACAAGAAAGCTGCCAAGAAGGACGAGAAGAAGGAGTCCAAGAAGGAAGACAAGAAACAAGCTCCCGAACCCCTCGATGCCGGAGACGAAATTCTCATGGCAGAGCCTCCGAAAAAAGATCCTTTCGAAGCCTTCCCCAAGGGCACTTTCGTCATGGACGACTTCAAGCGTTCGTACTCCAACGAAGATACCGCCGTGTCTATTCCGTACTTCTGGCAGAAGTTCGATCCGGAGAACTACTCCATCTGGTACTGCGAGTACAAATACCCCGAAGATCTGACCATGGTGTTCATGTCTTGCAACCTCATATCGGGCATGATGCAGCGTCTGGATAAAATGCGCAAGAACGCCTTCGCTTCCATGTGTCTATTCGGAGAGGACAATTGCTCCACAATTTCCGGTATCTGGGTTTGGAGAGGTCATGAATTGGCTTTCACCCTGTCGGAAGACTGGCAAATCGACTACGAGTCCTATCAATGGAAGAAGCTCGATCCCAAGGACGAGAGCACCAAGACTTTGGTGAACGAATACCTCGCATGGGAAGGACAGTTCGGAGGCAAGAAATTCAATCAAGGCAAGATCTTCAAGTAAACTCCCCGTACGGCATTCAGAGATGCTCTAGGAACTTGCTTAATAAAGACCTTTGAACACCATGAATTCGATTCAGCAATTATTCCAGCGCCGCCTTCGGCATCCTATCGATTTGTCAATTATTATTCATTGGCGCGACGAAGCCCCGAATGTGACGCCTATGGTGGAAGGGAGATCGCTGGGAGTGCAAAATCGTTGATCGCGTCAGGGGCGATCGGAGCCAGGGCTCATGCTTCCGGAATCTGCCTGGTGTCTACAGCGCCCTCGCGACGAATTCTTTTCCTTGCCTCACCTCACGCCCTCTGTTTTGCCTGGTGATTTCTGTGCATATGAACAAGGAGATTACGGAGCACTTGAGCGACTCTTCGCTCCTCGGTCCTCCACTTCGCCAAAAACTCTGCTGGTAGATTAAACTCTTCTTTATTTTACACGCGAATGAAGGAGTTAGACCGCACCTGGATGGTATCAGTCTGCTTCTCCTCACCTCGGAACCATAACTCCATCTTCAGCGCAGACAGCGCTTCGTCGATCGTCCAAATTCAAGCAGATGTGTCGAAGAATTCTTTGATCATATCCGAGACTTCGATGGGCGAAAAGCGCACATATTTGTCTCGTTTCCTCGTGAAGGGCACATCGGCATACGTGTTGTAGAACAATCTGTTGGAATCAGCGAAAATCATTATCGAGGCTATAGCCGCTGATTTCTCAGAATCACACTTCGGGATATCCCCGGTACGGATCTTGAATACATTCTACCGAAGCTTCACGAACCTGTATTTTGGAACAATGAATTCCTCGTTGTCGCGCTTGATAGTCTGACGCAATTCAGCATCGGGCACGGCGTATTGTTTCTGTGTTCTGTAAAAGGAAGTATAAGGAATCGAAGAGACGGTTTGAGCCTAGAAGTTGAAGCGCATCATTCTTCGACCATAAGGAGTTTAATCATCGGCATCGTTAAGGAGGGGTACCGTAGGATATCGTCGATGGCTTTGTTGAATCCGGCGAATTTCTCCTTGATAGCCTGTCGATCCTTCTCTTTGATCTTGAGGGAGTCCGCCGAGCCCCTCGGCGAAGCAACGGTCAAGCTGCGATCGACCTGATGATAAGGGTGAATAATGTGAGGCTCGAGATAGGTACGAATCATGTGACGCTCGAGATCTGGGGATGATCTTCCGGGGGCAAACATATCCGAATGAACTCACATCTACTATGTAATGCAGAACCGTGCTCCAGCTCTGCGAATATTTCCTCTTCTCTTCCCGCAAGTTTTCCAGGTAGTGTTCACCCATGGACGGATAAAATTCTTGAACAACTTCCAGGAGACCACTCCGTTGCAACGATTGATAAATGTAATGTAGGTTGTTCAGCCGGAAAATCGCCTGTCGAGCGGTCAGAGTGCTTCTTAGACAGCAACAGGAATCTATCGATATCTAGATCAGCTTCGACGGGCAACACGTCTGATATTTTGCTCGGTCCCCGCATACCTGGAGGTATTCGTCAGTGTAGCTGACAGCCTTGTTGTTGATATTCAAGCTGAGTGCGCTCAATACGAGGTGCACATACTGCGACAGTGTGCAACGGTTCCGATCTTCGGCTTTAGACAGTTTTCGCAGATCCGGCACCACAAGAACGTTACCAACCTGCGCAATTGAGCAACCAGGTGAGTTAGGTCACCGTATACCTTCCATGAGAGGAATATCGAGGAGGGTGACGGAGGATTATTAATTCTCGGAGCCTTGCAGAACCAGACTCACCATGTCAACGAAAGCCAAGAGCCGTTCAAGCATCATCATCACATTCGATGTCAGCTCATGGACGGTGCCGTCTTTAGGCATTTTCACCACAGGATCATTCCGCACGGAGCCGACAAACTCGTTTAGTGACTTGTTCAAGGTGGTCTGCATGCGAACCAAAGCTTTGCACAACTGATCTTTCTGGGTACAACCTGAAATAAATCAGCTCCTATGGTTAGGTTGGTCTTTCCCTCGGGCATGATCATGATCAGAATGCTCAGAGAGAAGCGAGGAACTTACCTTCCATCAGCTGTTCGTACTCCGGTCTCAGTTGGGTGAGGTGTTGCAGTGCCGGGAATAAACTCAAGACTATCTGGAACTCATGCCGCGCGGCGCTCTCCTTCACGATCTGAGCAGAAGGACCCTTTTAGTTTCGCGCCACAACCGAGAGGATGCTCGACAAGTTCTGCATAGAAGCCGCGATCTCATACGCCATTCGGCGCCTTCGGCCCAGAGTCATGTGATACATACCGGTTGCTTTTATAAGGAGAGGTACTCTATTCAATATATCGTGATAATGGGAGAGCGTCGAACGGCTCTCGAGGGCAAAAGATTATACGACGGATTTAAGAAGAAGTTGCAACGAACCTTGTCCAAATTCTCGCCTTCGGTCATAACAATGGACACAGCAGCTTGGACCACATGCTCGAACACTGCTCGATCGACGGATGTCGCGTTTTGAGCCTCTGTCGGACTCATGAGGCTCGGTTTCCTGGAACCGCATTCTATCTTTGAAAGCATGTGGAATACCATATCGTGAACAGAGGGCGACTCCTTCGGCTTGGGCTCGACACCGATCACATCGATTCGATAAGAGAGCTTGACTTGCCTCTCCGGGATGATTGCTTTAAGAAGTTGCGCCTCGTTCTGCATGAGCTTGAGTAATGCGCTGACGGATGTGAGGAAGCTCTCTACTTCCACCTCCTCTCGGACTTCTCTCCCTAACGTGAGATATTTCCCAGTGGATGCGTCGGCAGAGTTCTTTTTCAAGCCCGCGTTCCGCAAAATGGCGTTCCTGATCTTCCGGCCTACGCTCCTTCCAGCGACGCTCGGGTCTTTCAATGATGACACTCCGGAGCGACGAGAGGGAAGTGGGCTCGAAGACACGCCTGCCGAACCCAGGTCCAGAGTAAGTTATCAATCACGCCAAGTTCTGAGTCATGCTGACTGAGAAGTCCGAACCTGAAGATCGAGATACTCACCCAAAGTCATCATATGACTGCTGCTACCGCTCGTTGATTTCTCGTGATCCTTTAGATTCGAGATGCTCTGAACCAGAATTCGGCTGCGAACTGCTCCGTATTTCTCCATGACTCGACTCTCTTGGCCGCATTGTGCGAGATACACGGCCATTTCTCGAAGTTCATCTTGTACCTGGAGGAGAATATTGATCGTAATCGGTATGCGTACGTCACCGTCGAATCGGTGGTTAATATCTGGATCTACCCAGGGGAAGAAGAATGGGGGACGTACCTCTTTCGGAATTTGATCCAAACTCCGGGTTGAGTCAAGACTTCGGAGCTCCTCGTCAATTTCGATCAGATCGTGTATTGTGGGAGCTGGGAGTGGCCGCGAATGGGAATTGAGTTGATCCTAAAACAGGCAGACGTCTTGAAGTCCTCATGACACCGGATCAGGAGTGAATATGATAGACCTTAGGAACTGTTCGGTCATCGTGCTCCCCGAACGGTACTCGCTCCATACGCATACCTCGAAATGTTGGAGCAGGAGATTTTGACCTTGGTTTATGATTTGTTTCAGAGCTGGAACTTCAGCGTTCAAGGGCGAACTTTTTTCGAAGAACTGTAGAGCTTGGCGTAACTCTTCGATTGTTTCGATGTATTCCTGGAATCGGACGATGATGAGATACCTCTCAGTCGACTCTGACGGACTTACGAAGACACTGCGTGCATTGGCATGTTCCTTCATCTCACCTTCACTTCTTGCGTCGGACCCCGGCTGACGGAGCTCCGCAGACGCTCTGCGACATTGTACATCGGTATGACGCAGTCCAATTTTTTTAGAACGAGGTTGATATTTTCTTGACGTTTTTGAAGAGATCCTGTCTGCTTGTATACAGGAGTGATCGTCTTCTCTAGGCGTTCCAAGCTGAGAGATGAAATGTGAATCGGTATCATGATTCTTCTCTGCTCCGAATTTCGCCGTTCACGATTATCTTTTCGAGTGAGGTGGTGATTCCACCGCATAGAGGATTGGTCCGTAAGATCTTATGATAGATGGACTCACCGATCGTCGAATGAATTCAGGATCCCACACATACTATTGGTCAAATCATTCGACTTGTCGAGCAAATTCCGTAACTCCGTCATGTTACGCTGCTCGAACTGAAGTTTAACGTCGACGGAATGCATTTTGCACGGTCGTCCTGCGGGAAGCTCTTGGTTCTTTTGGAATCAGTTTCTGGCAGGACTCATCTGACTCATTCCACGGACTCGGAGCTTATGCGGTGAGCATGGAGGTCGATAGGGATCCGATCCATGGAGAGCTCCGCACAAGTGACTAGATTGACAAGGGTTGAAATGATGACGATCGAATGTTGGCTGTCCTTGCTCGATGGTGCTGGATTGTGTGTGATCTTCGCTCGCCAGACTAGCTCGTCCTACTGATCCAAAGCTCACTCGACGAAAACTCAATGCTTCCGAGTGCCGAAGGATCGGTGTACGGTGAGAGTTTAGATCGTGACTCCCCGTCTCCCGGAAAAAAATCGGCACCAGCTGACTGCCACACAAAAACACAAGACAGCCGTGTGTCGTGTGTCTGGTGTCCAGTTGTTGGCGAGACACACACCGGACACGGACGACAGAGGGAGAGAGGTCGAAGGGCGGGACTGGCAAACTCAGCGCGGTCTTTGAAACTCCGAAAATTGTCGTGTTCTAGGTAAATGGACTACAGACCCGGTAGAGCCCTCGCGAGGATCGAATCCGAGATCCCCTGGGATCGGACAGCCGAAGATTGCCGATGGTCTATCCGCGGAGCATGGGGCCCACAGAGGAATGAGCTACGCGGACCCGCGTTGGAGACTTATCTGCATGATGATTGCCGAGGAATTTCAAGCGTTTCTCGGGATCTGAACTCCAACATTGCGCCCGGAAGCTACCGGGAAGGATGGAAGGGACATGAAACGCCGCCCGGAGTGTGATTCCCGATTCGAATAAGATTTAAGGAATCATCGAAGTGAATCCCCAGGAGTTCATGAGCAAAACTTTATTTATTGTGGGGTTGAAAATGCATCGAGACCCCAGGGTACGCCCAATCGAGTCGTGACCAGGCTCGGTGAGCTCGGAAGAACTGCTACGGGGACGATGCTGCGATGTTCATTTGAGGAGTCTGCCGCAATTACTTTTGTATTGGAGCTGGAAGCCAGAATACGGTGCCCTACCGTAGTCATCGCGTCCTTCTTCTCTCTCGGGTGAGTTGAATCCGATCGATGAAATCGCATTCCCTAGAAACGACGAGGGAAAGAGACTCGGCTTAGAGATAGGGGTTCAAGCTCCCGCTTCTCCATCCCCGAGGAGGTCGAGGAGTCGGAGATCTCTGATTCATGGATACCCGACGTAGGATCGAGGAATGCTCTAGAGAAATCATTCATAAAGACGTGGGAAGGAGGAGAAACAGAACTCACTGGTGCGAAAACTGCGCAGGAATTTGTTCCCGCAGAACTTGATCCCGTCGATGGTGAGGTACGCTTTCCGTTTTCTGTTCTCGTCGTAGCTCGTCAAGTCGTCGCAGGTTCTGTCAGACAAATCACCGAGATTATCGGCGAACCTGCCGGATGCCTCGGGTTTCTCTCCGAGACCGAACGGTCCGACCTGAGTCAATTGCACGATGCAAGCTTCACGGAAGCACATCTGATATCTAGAATGTTATGACTATTAGTAGCGGAATGAATTCGCGGATCCTGACGGTATACATTGATTTAGCATTCTGGTTCGACGAAGCCTGCCTCGACGCTAAATGTGGCGGACACATCGAACAAGGCCTGAGAATCAGGCCGTACCTCCAACTCCCCGCTCACCTCAAATCCAGTGGATAGGAAGAATCGTTGAAGAGGTTCCCGTAGTTGAAGCTGGATATAATCCCGGAGTCCTCTTCGAAGTATTGCAGACAATTGGCTGGCGCGAGTCGCTCGGAATAGCAGGGAATCTGCGTCACCCGAATCTTCCACTGTCTGCTCGTGGAGTTTTGACCGAGGTTGACATTCAAACGGATGCTCCGCGCATTTCTGACATCGATGTACACTGCGATGAAGGAGCAAGCCATCACGAGTAAGAAGATGCGAACGAAATTCGGGGAAAACCGCATACTTCAATCTTTAGGAGAATCATTTCGTGGTCCATGCAAGCAGGACTCGCCGATTGCCATCATCCCGGAAGTTTTCCGGGGAATAGGGGCTTACTGTGTTGTTTGTTGTTGCGGCCACAGATGGTTGGAACCGATCGATCGGCTCCGGATACGCTGAAGGAATCATGGATACAAGCACCCGTGGCAAAGTTAGGTCCAACAGTATCAAACTCGATGAAATCCAATCTCATTTGACAAACTCCCGAGATGTGCCATTTCTTCTGAACCTCAACGCTGCATGAGGATCCGCCGCGCACGGACTCATACGGACTCACGAAGTACGTATTATTCGCCACGATTCTCCCTCCGCAAGTTTTCTCCACTGGAATGCGAGACTCCCCTCAGTAGCTAACTTAGGCGCCGTCCGAAGTTCTGAATAGGGGAATTCAAGGCTGATTCGGAGTTCAATCACAGAATAACTCACGCCGACAGCAGGTCCCCAGAGCGCAACTTCCCAGAGACCGACCCCTCTGGAAACCACATTCGATTCCTGTCATGCAGACTCCGGCTCCGTCTCCGCAAGGTTCCATGTAGAGTCGCGGGAACAGTGCTGGAACACGGAACAGGTACAACTGGAATTCCTTGGTTCGTCCTTTTGAACAGAGTGAGAGTCATCGGTGCAATCAGGAAACTCCGAAGGCTTACTCACGAGGCAAAGCTGTGGCGGCTCCGAAAAGAATCGTTGCTCTCAGGATCACCGAAAGCTCCATGATGCCGATGATTCAGTGAATTCTGAACGTGATCGGTAGTCTTTTATAGCTCGCAACAACCTCTCGGAAGGTGCGAAATTTGACAGTAGTCTGGTTACCCTGACACGATGAGCCTGATGTGGAGCTCCGGATCAGAGCTACGAGGGTATCCATTCGGATGACGGGAACAACCGCGAGTGAGCTGTGGAATCATTTATCGATCACGCTTTTGACACACGATAAGGGGCAGATCCTCCTTCGCTTGAGTGGAGAGCAGAGTTCTGCTATCACCTTTTCGGGAAAGGGAGGGGTAAGATCCTCCCGATTAGGCGAGTCTCCGAAAATTTTAGCCTATTCCACCGAATCCATCCGAGACTCTGCGAACTTAACTGGGAGTTATGACTGCTTCCGTTGACCTTCGCTGAATGTCGACATTGGAACTATTTGAACGCTCCGGAACGTTAGCTATTCCAATGAGACACAGGGTCGCCGAATGTGCGCCGTATGGTTCATGGCGTCCACCGAAGCAAGTTAAGATGCTGTCGAGATCGATGGATTCCAGTTCTCTTGTGGAGGACTCCAATTCATTTTTGAATCTTCTCCTCATTCTCTTCGATTGTGAGGGGCAATAGATCGTCTGACCATTTGTAGCGGATTGGGAAGAAATCCTATTTGAATCGTGTATGGCTCTATTTCTATTGACTGAGTGGAATCAAATCTCCTGTCGAGGGGTCTTCGATGGCGTGAGGTCGACTGTGCTCTCTCCATTTCCGACTGAAGCATCGTCGCCGTGGGATGTGTGGCTCGATTGACGTATCGGCCTCCGCCCACATCTCACTCTTTCTGTGAAGCATTGCATGATGAAACTTTCGAGGAGGCTGAACGAAGGTGATTCGGCGTTAGAGGGGACCGGGCAATTATGCTCGTAGGATCCGCGAAAATCATCGTCACCATGTGCTTGAGGTTTCCGTCGCGTCACCGAACTCCATTTTTTCTGAGTTCCATCGCCCCTCTATTCCTCATGAGTTCTCCATAGCATCAGGAAGGTGTAGATCTCGGGTATCCAGGATACAGAATTCATCCAGCGCTCATCCGAGCTTCGAACTCGGACCCCGAATGTCCTTGAGTGGGAGATCTTCTCAATTTTGAATTGAGCGCCCATCACGGTGCCCCCTCTCCACTCCTTGAAAATATTGCTCCAGCATCTCAAGCCGCACCATGTGGCTTCTCCGCTCGCGAGGATCGCACTCCTGAGGCAGTAATCGAGGTAGAACTTCCCCTGACATTGTTCCTTCAGGGCCAGGGTCTAGGCCGTTGCCCTGAGCTATTGCAATGCAGCTCCCAGAGCTACCAACAAGTGCCCAGATGAAGTCGATTGACTCAACTCTCGAAATCGAATCTACAAAGAGCGCGGCGACGATGGTGGCTCCCCAGTGTTCGATATGTCAGAAAAGCGCGAAGTGAGTGGCTTGGAACATGCGTGTCATACCGTTATATTGTAACGGAAGCTCGTGATTACTTTGCATTTGTACTACGTAAGATTGATCATTTATCAGATATCGATGCCCCCGCTGTGCCTTGCGTACCTGCTCTGTGGATTGTGTCAGATCCCACAAGGAAGCGTCTGGTTGCTCAGGACTCCGCGACCGCACCGCCTACGTTCCACTCAGCAAGTTCACTGAGATGGATCTCCAATCCGATTACAGGTGAGGAGTGAATATCAAAATTTGAAGATTCTTGAAAGCATATGATTTTCATTCCCTACAGCCTATGTGGATCGCGGGAGTGAAATCGAGATTTCTCTTCGAGACTTTTTCGAGTCCTCAGATTTGAATTCTGAGGTAAAAAAATTGAGAGAATCGTCTCCACAGACTTCTGGAGGAAACAGCAAATGTGATAGACGGCAGTATCAGAGACAAGATCGTCAAACCCCATCGAGGACCGGTTCTTCCCCAGAACTTAATCAACTTGCAAAAACTCGCTTGGAAGAGCAGTCGCATTGGACTCCAGTTTCTACCGGAGGTCAGAAATGCATACGATATTTTTGATCATTATTCGAGTCGTGCCCGATGATTTTTGTGATTGACTGTGTGCACTCACCTCTGCTGGAGCTCATTCCCCTGACCCTACGTGTTACAGATGTTCTCCAAACGGAAAATGAATCGAACCTCGATCAAGAGAGGAATCCTCCACTGGACGGTTGCGGTGGAGATCCCTCAGAGCGATGTCTCACTACTCAAACATAACGTTGCATCGACGGCTTTGCTGAAAGACTTCCTCCACGACGTGATACGGGGCCTGACAGATTCCGAAAAACAGAGAGCGTGCGCCCTCGTAAACTGCTCCTTCAATGATCTCTCGGTTTTCCTCAAGGTCTGCACTAATTCTCGAATATACCTACGTCGAGGAGGTGCCTCACGCTCGACTCTGATGGGAATGTTCGAGTATACAGTCCGAACAGAGAAACTCAGAGCCGAGACAAGTGACGGGGCCCCAGGGAGGTTGGTGAAGTGAATCTATAGCATCGAATTTCCACGAGCTCTAAGACGAGAAATTGTTCACAGGCCGAGAGGCGACCAGCAAACGACGAGCGATATCATCAATTGGACTCTGACCTGAGTCTAGAAGAAAATTTCAAGGAGAAACACATTACAGAGTTCCCGACACTGTGGTTGGCAACACAGGATCATCGTGGAATCTTCAACCTACTCGAATCCGTCAAAACGAAATACACCGTGGAAGCGAAGCTCCCGTCGTTTTTCCAAGAAGTTGACGATTCGGATTGACTGTGATCGGCGATCCGGAGTCTGACTGTTATTCTGTACATTTTGTTTCGATACAAGGAAGAACTTTTGACACAGGAGCTATCGTATTCACTTCCCGCGAATAGGCAGAGCAGCCTCGGTAACCTGTCTAGTTCCGTGGCTTGTTCGCAAGATACGCACGAATATCGATCTATCGCGCGGAGTCTTTTCAGGGAGGGGGGAGGCTCCGAGGTGAGAGCTGACAATGAGGGTCTCTGTGCACAGGGAGGGGGGTTTAGTTCGACAAGTCGCTTGCGACAAGTCTCCCGGGTCAAATGGCTTCCCAACTTTTGCGGTTTAGGACGCTGCCCACTCCTTAAGAGACTCCTCATACTCTCGGTTCATTCATAACGCCGAGGGATCAGCGGTGTGCGGCTGCTGCCCGTAGAGCCCATGAGCTGGATAGCTCGGGGACATTTTGGGTCCTGCGTCTTCTCCTCAGATCTCCGCTTGGTGTTTGTGAATATCCGGATCCCACCAGCCCTTTTCGGAAGTGTGATCTCTTCGGGACGGCGGGGTTCACGAGATATCGACTTTGCGAGCGAAATCCAAATAGAATTAGAAAGATTGAAGTAATGAAGCGCATCACTCTCGAAGCGTGAGGGGACTCGGAAGCTGGATCGAAGGCGAAGTCAGAGGCGTTCTCACTTCCCAGACAGAAGACTCGAACGAGCAGCCAGGGCAATTACCGATACGCGAGCGTCCTGGGAGCCGGAGTCAGCTCTCAGGAGTTTCCCTCGAGCCCCCTCCCATGAATATCAATAGATGAGCATGACCCTGATCCTTCCGATCGCAGAAAAATGCCTCAACAGGCTTGTCCGCTCAGAGATCGCACAAGAACTTCCCTTCGGGCGATGCACTCATGTTTTCCATCAATACCTCCAGCGACAGACGTGATGCACTTCGTCAATGCATCGCTTCCATGTATCCTGTGAATCAAACAATGTTTGCGACTTTTCGTCTCCAGCGGTCCAGTCGGGAGCGGCCCTAATTCGAAAGGGAAATCATCCTAGGTGAAGAGTTTCGTGGGCAGAGCGCTGACACATGCGTATCAGTAGTCTCAGCCCGATCTACGATCCCTGCCACGAACCTCCGGAGTTCGATGATCCTACGGCGCTCTATTATCCGGTGGAAGACTGTCGGGATCGTAAATGGATACGATCGGTCACCGGAAGGGATCCTCGGCCCGAGGAAGACCTCTCAGTCTGGAGTCGGTATGAGCAACGGACCCCACTCCGTAGTGAGTTCGTCGCATCTACGTCCTCCTGGCTGGGCCATTCCGAGATGAACGTGCGTTCACGTGCAGCAATCGCTGTCGTCGAGATTGGAGTGATCCCCTTTATGAAACGAGCACTCGCTCATACCTGACATTGGCTCACGTGCTTCGAATTATCGCAATGAACGGCGAGGACTGGTCTGGCGATAACGTGACGCATGTGTTGCCTATGGTGGTGTCAAATAAGTTGAAGACACCAACAGACTTACCAAGTATTCACGTGCAAAATACGAACGTTCGTTTAGCGCGCATACAAGCAGAGTGAAGTAGTAGTCAGGATAGTCGGACTGGGATCGTCGATGTGGGAAAATCTGATAGAGGTCCGAGCTCCCGAGGAAGCCGACTACAAGCTAGAGGGAAGCAGGGGAAATGTTGAAAAGGACATCACCGCTATATCGGTGACAGCGAACGAGTGGAATGACTTCAGCAAGTGAAGCGAGCAGCCCGAGTTTCTAACTATAGACACTGCTCGAACAGAGCTCGACGTCGTAGGCAGGAGAATCTTTGTCCCGCACCAGGAACGAGAATCGAACGAAATAGACCCTGGAACGAAAAACGCCACCGCACGGGATCGATTGGAACGCTCGGGACGAGGACTCGGAGCTATTCTCGACTCTGAATGGCTCCTGCCGTGTCAGTTTGGTTTTCCAAACGCGAGGGTTTATGAGGATCTGTGCTCTGAACTGGCGCATTCCGAACGAATGGGAGCTCTAAGTCTTCCTACGGGCGAGCATAGAGATTTCGAATTGTCAAGTTACGTCGGAACATGGCCCCCAGTATCGCTAGGCGTCCAAGGTGAGGTCTCTTCATCGCGATCTCTCTTGCGGAGTCTTCAATTTGATGTTCGAGGCTCGCTTGAGCTCATCGGACGGCACCTCAAATCGCTACGCCGTCGTATGCTGTGCCCGAAACTGGTTGGGGGTAGGTCGACCTCCCACAATCGACCGAAGATTTCCTGGAATAGACTCTGATTGAGTCTACCTCCATCTCGTCTCATCGGATAACTTCCGGGCCAGGTCCGGTTTCCACACCACCTCCCGGCGGACGGCCGCGTTTGCGTGGGCTGACGCTGTGAATGGGACTGCAGCTCGGATATTTTTAGCCGGGGATCTGCATGAGCACAAAAGACCGCTTGACATTTACCTCCCGGCTGTCTCCTACAAATCCGCGTCGGTCCATCTGGGAACGATCAGATGGGATGCGGTCGTCATGACCGATATATAGGGAAAACAGGAACCGAGACATGATTGAGAGAATGCGCGGTTAGAGCAACAGACGCAATCAGACAGAGAAACTGCGCAGAATTGCTGCCTTCTGTGGGGCTCGAATTACGTCTCTTCCCAGGCTTGTCGTCGATTTACATAAGACTTCAGATCCTTTGTGTTTGCGTTGTCAGATCCAGGCGCTCAGAGAGTCTCTATTTCTCTCAAGCTATATCCCCATCTCGGAAACGTGAAATGGTGGTCTGGGGACTCAGAAAGAATCGAGCAACACCTCGAAGGGCATCGGAAGCGAGAGCGACGCCTCCATGCAACGTCCGCCCCCCGACACGCAAGCGACGCTGAGTCCGGCCATGGCGACATGAGAGATCGCTCGTGCGACATCGATACCGTGCATCGCTTCGCTCGTAACAGCTAACAGATCGAAACTGAGGAAATCGATTGTTATAGGCGCCTCGGGTACGGACGCTGTCATAATTCTCATAAATCAATCGAGATATTGACAGTAATTATTCAGTGACCTAACAACAATGTTTACCACGCAGATGTCGGTCTCGCGGGATGGAAATTCCAGCTCATCCGGAGAGTTACGGAGAGACGAGGTCTCAGGAATGTTTTTCCGATCGGTCCGATGACTCTGATCCGATACTCGAGCTGAAATACCAAAACGAGCTTCCCTCGCGAATCCACCAATCCATAAGGATAGTATGCGGTCGGGTGAGGGGAGGAGACGCGCGGGAAACGCCAGACCCGCTGAATACTCGAGCATCTTATCGGTAAGCGAGTTCGATCATTTCGCGGTGGCGGGTCGCGGCGAGGCATGCTGGAGCCCCCGGTAGGGGAGCGAGGGGCTTATCCATGCCGCAAAGCATCGAGAGGGAGAGGAGCAATGGTCGCAGATGATATCTTCACTCGACTTTCTTACACAAATCTCCGGCAGACATCTGCAAGTGACCGCTGTGGCTTATCTCATGGGCAGGGCTTACCACCAAGAAGCAACACAGCCACTAGCGCCTTTACAAATACCACGCGCAATTAGCATCGGTATAGGAGATCCTACGATAAATAACTCGTATGGCCGCTCGATCCACCCTAAAAGCACGCGACTTTCCTCATCGGCTTGAAACAACCCTATCCCCATCGCGACATTTCTCCGCGTAGAAAGTTGGCGAGGTTGAGATTCTCCCATCGTATCGAAGACTGCTGAGCTTTGAGAGGGCACACATCTCATTATTCTCCTATTCCGATGGATCCCGGTGGATTCGCAAAAAAAACAAAAGGGCTGCGGTATGCGATTCAAAACAATCCTGGTGGAGCGCGGTCGCTTCTTTTGCGATGCGATTTTTGTGTGAGGTCTACGCGACGTCGACTGTGATTGCACGATCCGAAAAATAACGTCTCAGTCGTCCTAATGCAGACATCAGCTTCTGACAAGATGAAGCGTGATTTTTTCGTTCGCGTCCACCGCTAATGTATCTTTTCCTCTTCGACGTTGGATTCTCCCGGCGAAGCTCTTTTGACGAGGTGTGGTCAGAAAAGTCAAAATAATGCTTTAGGAAATGTCCGCAGATCCCATTGGGCGCTAGTCGAATGCTGGTCGCTTCCAGCCCTGCACCACAACGGGTGGGTTCCTAGTCAATCGAGCGCAGCCTTGATAAGAGCACGAGTCCAACTTGAGCGTGGGAGCGATATTGAACGCGCCGTCGACTTGAGCGTCAGGACGACTGTGAGCGCGTCGTCAATCTGAGCGCTACGCCAACTCAAGCGCGCTGTTACTTTGAGGGCCGAGGCGAATCACAGCGATTCATGTACTTGAACGCGGAGCTGAAATCAGCGCGGAGGCGAACGTGAGCGCAGCCAAGAAGAAAGCGTAGCGTTTCGTTGGGCGCCAGCGACATCCGGCCGCCTTAAGACTAATCAGGCCTGAGTCCGACCACGGGGGGGATGTTGTCACTGCCCCCATGTCGAAGGCATCCATCCCGAATGATGTCGGGAGTTCTTTCTATTTTCAGTTGCTCCGGACAAGTCAAAATCAGCGGCGATTCTAGGGCAAGGGTCGCGGGCGGTCCGTGCGGGCGGCTTCCCCCTGGCACGGTTCTACAAGGAAGAGCTCAATGAACACCTTCAAGAAGCGATGAGATTCAAAATCTCAATGAGAGCCCCTTTAGGAAAGTTTCCTGAGATCCCATGAGGGATCCAGTGAGGCGTCGTGGACCGGACGGCTAGTCCTGAGGCTTGCGTCACCGAATAGGTTAGCTTCTGACTTGATGGACGCTCAGGTTCGAATCCAGATCACAGCGAAGGAAAGTCTTCAGGGCTAAGACTAGGAGGAATTCACGGAGGAGATTCGTGAGGGCTCCCAAGTCCGGGAGCAAAGACCCAAGATTGCGAATCCTCCCCGGGCGGGGTTTCGGCACAGTCTGCGGCCGCACCCATGAATTCTCTGCACATGACTCCTAATTCCAAAACGTCCGAGTTTGAGATACGTCTCACATGGATGTTCGCGCCTACACTTTGATTGGCTATTGGCAAGCTATTGAATACACTCTTGACTGTCGATTCCGGGAGCGATTCTATTCGTCGTGAACAACGAAGCGCCATCGGTGGTCGTTGGGGAAGAACCCGTTTGTGAGTCCACACAAGTGATGCCGCTGAATTTCGTCGGCTCAACCTTCGGTAAGCCGCTCCTCCATGAAAGGGGGTTTGTCTATAGAAAAGATCGCACAATTAAGACAAAGACCCACTGGCGATGCACAAGCAAGACTTGCTCAGCTCGCCTGACCACCGAGAATGACTCGTACACGGTGGGTTCTCGGGATCGAAGTGTATATGTCTTCATAAGGATCGCATTCGTCCTGCTTAGTTTCAAGACAAAAATTATCGATCTAGATCCTTAGAGTCTTCCCGATCATAATCATGGTCCCGACCCGGCAAATATCGAGGTTCGTCGAAACATGAATCGTCTGAAGGAACTTGCGGTGAGAGAGTCTTGGGCCCCACCAATGTCTGTGGTCTCGAATGGTTTGAAGCACGTCAATTCGAGAGCGGTCGCGGGTCAGATGCCATGCACTGATCTCCTGCGACAACAAGTACGCCGATCCCGATCCCGCGCTGGTGTGCTGGCTGCGCCGACGAATCCCACCAGCAGAGAGGATTTCAAACTGCCAGAGAGACTCAAGGTCTTAACCGACATCTCTGTTAGGCTGTCTCTTTAGTAAGTAATTATTGAGACCGCGCTGAGGCGACTCAAACCCAATTTCTTTTCCGGAAGGTCACCGGCAAGGAGGAAAGTTTCGTGTTTTACGATTCGGGAGAGGGTGATCCCGACCGGATCCTCGTCTTCGCAACCCCCGGCAATTTGAACCTTCTTCGGAATATGATGAGTGGTTTGTAGACGGCACATTCGATGTCTGTCCTGAGATATTCCACCAGCTGTACACTATACACGTCAACCTGCCCGATGGGAAGACAGTACCGGTTCTCTTCTGTCTATTACCTTCCAAAGCTTCAGCGACGTACCGTAGACTCCTAGAAAGCATTGTCGGAGCATTGAACGGTTCCTCCCCGCGACTGATCCATATCGACTTCGAAGTGGCCATGATAAAAGAGTTAGAAAGAGCTTTCCCTACCACTCGAATATTGGGATGCCTTTTCCATTTTTATCAATGCCAATGGCGGAAAATTCAGAGCAACCCTGACCTTCGAAGACAATACGGAGAAGACCCGGACTTTGCTCTGCAAGTTCGCATGTTCTCGGCGTTGTCTTTCGTCCCTACGAGGGACTTGCTGCCCGTGTTCGATTCACTCCTGCGATCGGACTTCGTTAAAGACAACAACTACATGTTGACTCCTTTCATCAATTATTTCGAAAGCACATGGGTTGGAAGGGAGCGCAGTAAACCTCGTATGAAGCACGAGTGGTGGAACGTGCATAGCTCAGTCCTGGAAGGTATAGCGCGAACTAACAACGCAGTAGAAGCATGGAACTCGGCGTTCTCTAAAAGAGTAGGATCTTCGAATCCGAACTTATTCAGGTTCGTTGAAATTTTGATAACTGAACAAGCTAAAACGGACTTCATGGTTAACAATTGCCTCGCTCAGGGATCAAACACCTTGCCGAAAAAGCGATATCGAGACCGAAAGAAGAGGCTTGAAAATCTAGTGTCATCTTATGATCAACGGGGAACGCTAGATTTCCTCGAAGCGATTGCGCATAACATTTCATTTTGAATCTATTGTTACTATGTCGCAGAAACTATGAAGATTCATGATGTTGCACAGTCTATTAAGAACTCTGTAATTTCGAAACTCATAAGCGCCTACTCGTTGACAGACATTCGATAAGATGTGTTCCAGAAAAAACGATATTGTCCATCATTCATGATTCATAATCCTTGATCCTTCCGATGAAATAAATGATCAATCGAAAGCACTGATTCATGTATCCCTCACCACATAGAAGGGTAGCTTAGACCTTTGAGAGGAATCGCCACTGGGCAGGCTTTTAGCGCGCAAATTCTATACATGCGCTGGCATGATGGGTGTACCAAGATTTGGGTGAATACTGTACAGGTTAGAATCGGAACTGAGTTCCAAGAAGGCTAAGATATCACTGACGATCTGAGGCACGCTGCGCTCACTTTGGACCGCGCTCCCATTCTCCCGAGCGCACAGATTGACACCGCGCTCCAGTAGCGGAGCGCTCCGATTCGCCCCCGCGCTCGAGTTGACGGTGCACTCAAACGAGCGATGCGCCCGAACTCGCCTCCGCGCTCAAGACGACGGTGCGCTCACAATGTCGTTGCGCTCTATTCCGCCTCCACGCTCAAGTTGTACTCGCGCTAAAAATCGCGAAGCGCTCTATTCCGCTTCCGCGCTCGAGTTGTACTCGCGCTCCAATCAACGCCGCGCTCGATTCAGTAGGCACCAACGGGTGCAATGGAATCGCATTCCAGCAATGAATTTCACGGGGTTTCAAGCCCTCTGCTCATCGTCGGCGCATCGAGGCCGACAAGCTATCAGATAAATCGGTCTTATCGTAAACGCGGCAAGCATACGCTCGACGAAGAACAACGTGATTCCGACTTCTAGCGCTTCGCGCAAAATGCCCAATCCTGGGAGCCATTCCTAAACCATGGTACCTACTCCCCAGCCGAAGGCGAAGGTGCGGGGAGATGAGAGGCTATCGCGGACCAGCGATTCCAAGTTCTGTCCGAGGTCGCGATCACAAGAGTTTTCATTTATTCTCCCGGATTCCGGCGGAGAGGGTTCCAGGATCTCTCCGAGCATTGTGGTCCAAATATTTTCCATTCCGCCGCTCTTCAAGCTTAAACGCTTACTATCTTGAATATCAAGTTTTGCGCCTCCTGTTCGCTGCAGGTCAGCGAGCGAATTCGCTTATCGAGAGGAGCGCGGATTCTGCGGAGATAGGCTCCGGCAGCGTGTATCGAATGAAAACTCCGCACAGAAAGCCCGTATATTTCGTGGCGCGTGGTATATTTGTGGCGCGGGCGCTCGCCTGCGTTCTCTTGCATGCCATACGCCTGTTGCATCATTCCTCTAGCTGAGAGATCGTTAGCGACTCCCTCAATCGAGAGGCGCGAGAATCGATAAATAATCTGGTGCACTTGTACACAGGCCTCGAAGCAGCCTCGCTAGAGAGACAGTTGGGGATGAACCCGGCACCGAGCCGCCGTCGGGGGGCGTCTGTCTAGAGAGCTATATTCGTTCGAGAAGAAGGCGTTCGATAACGTGGGTTCTCATATTTTGTCCCGGGGAGAGGAGGACCGAACAATGTGCTCAGCTGGACTGAAAATCTTCCGGTTGGAATTCCTGGGTTCCCCTATGTCCGGCCTTCATGAGCCAGCTTGAGAGCGTCGTGAGAGATCGAGTCCGAACTTCCGGGAATTCGGCATCGCTTGCCTCACCCGACGATTCACTTGGGCACGGAATAGACTCGTACTTACACTATGACGTCCATAAGTTCAGCAGGAGAATTTCCCTGCTCGCTCGCCTTTTCACAGACTCCGGACCAATGATGATGTATGAACGGACGGAGGAACTTGTTCTTGAGAAGAGCTTCTGCTTCTGGAGCGGAAGGAATACATGTCACCATTCGCACCGATCTTTGCTTCAGCATCTCCTTTTCTTCTCCTGAGACTCTCTCCGTCATTAAGTCGTTCGATGTTTTGAAAGAGCAATGACCGTGTGTGCCTCGTTTTCTTCCAAAGTGGAAGTCTGCCGTGGATTCCTGCCCTCGGCGGAAACAGTTGATGCGAAAATAGTATTCGTTGTCTGGACGCGTTCTGCCAGCCCCACAGCTCTGGCGTGACGGGATTTCGGCGGCTGGGTCTTTGAGAAGCGGTCGACGTTGCCCGGGCATTTCCTAGTTGCTCGCACTCGGTCAACGCCTCGAGCTGATCGATTCTTTTGTCAAGCTTCCTGCAAGAACTACATGTACGAGTAAGTCTGGGGGACCACTACTGGGGTAAGACTCATATTCAGGTCTATTTCGGCTGAATTGACCCACAATCGACGCCGTTACTACTGATGCGAAGATGATATAAGTCGTATGGCGAATCCAACGGGGGCAGAAACTCATGACGGAACGATCTTGAAGCTCTTGGACAATTCCCGCAAACTTCGGAGGCATCTTCGGAATCAGGAGCTGATAATATTCAAGAATGGTGCCGATCAATGCTGATTAGGTTACTACATGACCGATTGCTTTCTCTTCGAGCCGTCTGAAATCCATCGCCCGATTGCTCCGATCTGTCATTGCATCCGAGGAGTTCCCCGTACGCGTCCCGGGGAACGTGGAGATGACGGCTGAGGGGCCGATCCGGAATGGAGTCCTCTTCCCTCCTTATTAAGTTGAAGACGCGTTAGTGCCAGCGTTACCTAACGGTCGAGGGCATCTGGCCGTCGTGTTCGGCATCACGAAGCGCTCACAAGAAAACAGTCGATGACGTGACCTAAACCACGCGACAAGCCGGCCCGCTTCGCTGTGGAGGCAAATCAGATGGCTGCAGACATTTCACGAAGGAAGCGATCTGGAAAGCGCACCACTGTCTAAGCGTTACACCGAACGAAGGTCGACCACCAGAAGGCCACACAATGACGAATAGTCGAAGGAACGGATTGACGAGCTGTCAGAACGCGAAATTCAAGAGCAGCTTCGAAACAGAGCTCCTTCTGTCTTAAGCACCTTCTTTCAGCGGGCTCCGTCTTTTGACGTCACGCTGACGATGTGGGCGAGCGATTGCATGCGCTAGCTCGATTGCTCGGTCCTGGATCGGCTCGCGTCGAGTATTCTGTGAACAAGGATTCAATTAGCGTATTGTACTTCCGTTCACCCGGCTCAATTGAGAAGATTCAGAAGAGAGACTATTCTCCCAATCCAAATTCGCTCCGGGCGGAGTCATGAACCCCACTCAGACGCGCGGCCAAATCGGACGAGTCCTCTTTGACGTCGCATCGTTTTCTCGAGCACCATCCTCGGCGCGCCGTGGTTTCTAAAAGGAGAAATCGCTTGCGATTTCATCCTCCTCGAAATGGAATTCTGCTCTATTTAATCCGAGAGGATCCGTGGATAGCACACTGTCGACGAAATGGGGTGGAGGTTCGTAGAGCTAATGAACGTAGCTGTTTCTATTCTCTATCTATTTCTCTAAAGTCCGATTGGCCTCCGGAAGAAGTGTGAGTGACTTTCCAAGGGAGGGGAGAAAACACGTGTGGCTACATGATTTGCAAAACGAAGATCTGTCTCCCTATTGACAGTCGATCTCCAGGATCCACTCGAGTGAAAAAGAGATTCAATGCCATCTCATGGACCCTTCTCTGCCAGACACCAATCGTACTCCCCTCTTTCATCGTCTTGTCCCATTGGCCTTGCATACTTACCAACCGCGAAAGATTTGTCCGTTCCCTCCGACGACCCATCGAGCGATGATGGAGAGGCTCGAGAGTTTCCTCAGAGAGATTAGCCGAATCACGCGCTGATCGAGCGGCCATACATATACCTTTGGGGAAGCACTGCGAATTCTCTAATCCGAATAAATCCGGGGACCGTACCGTGCGTCGACCACATTCGTCGAAGCATTCTGAAATTTACCCGCAAAATCTCAGAATCGGATGCCTCGTAGACGTTTTCGACCCGTCCCAGCGCCAGATCGATGCGTCGTGCCGTAGCTGGAAGAGTTCGCCAGACTTATACTATTTATCGGAATTTCTGTGCACAAATTTCACCTTAATTCTGCTTACAACTAGAGTGATGCCAGGGAGACGCACGAATTACGTGATGTCGGGAAAGGCTTCTCTGAATATGAGGGAATTCCCTCTGAGTGAGTACTCTGGCACTCGAAATCAGATTGACGGAGCTGCCGGGATGACGATCTGGAGGTGATCAGGAATCGTGCTGACTTGGGGAGGATTAGCTTCCGCGTTGGATTCTGGAGGAATCTTCGTCGATGAGCGGAGGACAAAACGATGAGCACGAGGGAACCAGGTTATTCGTGCGCCTCTGCCTCAAGCCCAGCTCACCCCGCCCGTGGAGTGACTCAATCCAGCATGTAGAATTCCACAACTTGAGCTCTCCTCCTGGAGACTCAATCGGTCCGGGGATCTGCGCGTCGATTCGGGCGTTGCGTTGATTGGTTGAACGCTTCTTCGATCGGGACATCGGCTATGTCGTCGTTTAATCCCTTATTCCCTTGATGTGCACGAGAATCGTCTCGATTCGACCACTCGGCCTTGAGCTTGCCCAGAGGATTTCGCTGCCTCGTGAGCGCGGGAAAGCGCTGCGCCGGCCGTGCGTCCCATTGGCGAATCGCCGGAAGTTCCGAACGAGTTCGTAATCTCTATGAGTTCCTCTCAGGTGTGAAACGGTCGAATTTCTCCTCGCGCCGTCCTTCCCGTTTCGTCTACCTTTCCTCGAAACAATCGGCTTCCGCATGGTGGAAGATTCTGTGCAGTAGGGAAGGAAATGGATTCGGGGAACCTTCAGCTCATCAGGAGGCGACGCGTCTCGAGACCTGAGAGCCTTCGAAATCATTATCCTCGATCTGTCAAAGTTATGTTGAGGAGCTCCGTCCCGGAAAAACATCGCCCGAAATTATGAATCAATCAGGAATCAACAACTAGCGTTCCCACCGGTTCTCTTGCAGCCGCGCCGTTCAGTTGGAAAATTTGCTCATACGCTGCATTTCCTTGAAAAGGTCTTCTATCTCCTG